ACTTTATTATTCTGTTGCGCAGTTAATGACTAGAGCCATAAAAGCATTTGAATGAATCACTCAGTGGGTTAAAGTATAAGTAAAAGTTAGAGAGAGAGACGTTAGGGGCTTCCATGCCGAAAGTCTTCTCTAATGATAGTTATGACCTTGACTTAATAGGCCACCGCCCGCTGTTCACCCGAAATCCGGCCAAGAAAGTTAGTGATACCCCACCAAAGGCAGTCTCAGCACCCGCTGATTTTGGGTTTTTGCCATTTGGAATGACCCAATTTCATTGGCCGAATCCACGGCATGGGGGATAATTAATCAAGAAATAGAGCTTCAGTTTCACTCGCCAAAATGGAAAAAGGGAGAAAATGGGTTTTGAAATTAAAGCGATCAAATAAACGAACAACTGAGGGGCTTTGTTCTTCTACACAGACACAAATTGTAATCTTATATAAAGAAGAATTCAATTTGTTTAGAAATCTTATCTAATTGTTTATGAAATCTGAATGCAAGTACTGAATATAAAAGAAAAAACACAAAAAAACAGCAAGTACATATATGAAAATATATGAAATATTTCAAGATCTAATCTTACTACCTTTTAACTTTATAGCTTAATTAAAATTATATCCTAAAATCGTTTATAATAGATTATTTTCCAGGCAATGTCAGGCGATGTAATCATGTTTCTCATTTTTTTAGATTTATCTTAAATTGAAATTTAACTACGTTTAAACTTACGTTTTTGGTCTATGTAGTTTCTATGAACATTAATAATAAAGATCTATAATCTTATGGATTCTATAGGTTAAACTCCCTATACTTCAAGTTATAAAGTTAACCTTTCCTATAACATCAAAACCACCCACTATAACTTCTTAAGTTTTCATAAGATTTAAGATCTAAAATCAAGTTAAAATTAGTTCAACCCCTACGTTTCTCTCACTGCATCTTTCGAATTATAATCAGCTAGCATTAATGCAAATCGTGGGACATTATGTCAGAGATCGGCGATTGCAGTCGACGAAAGCGAAAGTGTGTCAGCGGGATGGGTTTATAGGTGGCCATTAAGAGAGCAAGTGAGACAGCTGGAGACATCGTCGAAGCGTGAAAGATTCTCTGCAGGTCGTTGCACATGAGAGAGGTAGCGGGTGCAAGAGGGAGGTCCAAAGCACGGCGCATGCGTGCCTGGCTCAGTGAAATGGAATGGAATAATGAGAGGGAGAAAGGTGGGGGGGGGGATGGCTTTTCTTTGTTGCCAGAGAGAGAGCACGAGCGAGTGCAGTGACGACTTTCACTAGAAACGAATCACAAAAAAAAATAACGCTTGATAACATAACTTTTCACACAGCTCTCCACCGATCGGCACTCTCTAGCCAAGCCAAAACCAAAATGAATCACGATCGCTGCTGTCATGCAATTACTATCGATATGTCAGTATATATCTGTATATATATATACAAGCTATATATGTAGGTTCTAAGCGGCTTAAGTGCATGTCATGGGTATATCCCATATCCCATATCCCATGTCCCACCCCCTCATTTGAGGTGGGCGTAAATTGGCAAAGCAAATGGCATTTCTGCAAGGAAGTTGTAAATCTGCTGCCAAATAGAATTGTGAGCGGGTCGAGTGCAAAAGCGTTCATTAAATACCAGGTCCCACTGCGGCATAAAAAGAACGAAAAATGTGCGAGGCTCTCGACAGGGAGTAGGAAATAAATACCCTTTCTTAATGATGATTTTAAGAGAAGTTAACTTATAGATAGGACAAGGAAAAGGTAAAAAAATACCAAGAAAATTTCATGAAACAAGATCTCAACTTAGCATTAGAAGCCATCTACCAGACGAAGTAGTAGGTAAGCTATTAGATTTTAATTTTGGGTATATTATTATATCAAGTCTTCAGTTTCTCAGATACTTTTCCATGCTTCTCAGCTTACATTTCCTATAAAAAAAACTTTACTTTTATGACTTGTCAGTCTAATTAACGGCATTAGATGTACATAACCATTTGAATAGCATTTAATGTGCTGTTTAACGATATTGTTTTTTTATTACAATCATTAATTAATGCATTTGTTAATGATATAAAGTATTAGAAATGCCATATTGGTTAGGGTATGTGACTGACTAGACAGACTCTTCAAAATTCATTGAGAAAAACCTTTCGGGACGTGCGTGCACAATACTCTGGGTTTTACGACCTTCTGTGACGCCCACAACGACAGCCGTTGCACTGAGAGAAATGCAATTAGAGAACCGTCGAGGAACTTGACGACGAAGAGGGCTTCCACAAATGTCGACAGACGTCAGACAAACGCCGACTGCCGGCCCACACACACACACAGATCACTTCAGGTCTGGTCTGGTCTGGTTCTGGGATATGACTTTAACTTTAACTTTAACTTCAACTCCATCTCCAGCTTCAAAATCTTGGAGTCTGGGTGCAGGCAATTAGAGGGGCAAGACTTATAGCCCGGGTTCAGTGGTGGCAACTTGGCTATTTGCCTGTTACCTAATATTCGTGAAGGTAAGAAAAAGGATTTTATGCAGAACATAAATTGGTTTTAAGTTGTTTTTTTGCAACGAAAGAAGTTTTTCGAGTAAACTATAAAATAAAAAACCATTCTAAAATAATTTTCTCCAAATATTTCTTATATATGTCAGCATTTAATGATGTCATTTTGCTCAAAAGAAGTTATCAAGGGATTTTCCCTTTGCAACTTTTAAAAACATAAAGAATCTCTTTCATATTTCCTTATGACTTAAGACTTAAGACACTTGACTTAGATATTTCCTGTGATCTACACTTGACAACACTAACTGGGTGAGGTAATGGCATTAACATCCAATTGGCCAATGAACCCGTCGATTATGAAACCGAACTCTTGCCGGCGGTTAATTATATGAACTTCGTCAATTGCCTTAATTAAGACCTTCTGCCCTGCGGCAAACGGAAGTAGAGCAGTGCAAAACTGACCTCTTAACTTTTTGGGGAATTTCAATTGGTAGCCGCACAAACTTTAAGCTTCAATGATACTGACTAACAAGTCTGTTGGCCTTGTCGGCTTTATCAAAAAGTCAATAAATACCTGCCGCGGAATCTTATCAACTCCCTAGCCATACCATATCGATATCTATTAGTATTTATTGAATAAACAAAATATGAAAGCCAAGTCAGCTTGGCCAAATAAATGTCACAAGAGAATCGAAGGCAAACCGCAGAGCCCGAAAAAGGTTTCCTCAGATCACAATCTTTAACAATATCGAATGAACAGCAGACTCCCGTGGTGTTTCTTGTGGTTACCAGAGAGGTAATTCAAAGACCTGACTTGACCCCTGACGATGGACCCCGCCCCCTTGGCCAAACACTTGTGTCCACAGATGAAAATTTCTTATTACCCACAGTTTTGTTTGTTTGTCTGAAAATGTTGAAGAGGCAAACAAATATAAGAAAAAAGAAAGAGGAGGAGACGGCCTGGTGACATTTGATAGTGCATGCGGTCAACTGCTGGCGATATCTTTGCTCGTCTTGGGTTCTATTTATAGGTCGATGCAATCGACTAGTAATGCCCTGGGCATGCAGCCCGCAGATGGAGTCACGTTTGGTGGCCGCTTACTAAATGCCAGCCACTTGAGCTTATCATTTCGTTTTACAACGGATTCGCCATCTAAGCTGGCGGGGATCAACGAGAACAAGCCCATAAATGCCGTCGTACCACCCAATCCCCTAAGCATGATTCATTCCGCCATAGTCGTAAGTACATAATTGATATAACAAAGGCCACTTGCTGAATTCCCGGTGTCCGTTATCAATCCATTGGCATACGAACTTAACCCGTTGGTGGACTGTTTACTTCATAAATTGACTTGAATAAAATTATATTTCTAATTTCAAAAGTATTTTTCAGATATACGATTAGATGTTTTTTGTATTTTTGACTAATTTTAAAGATTTTTTTAAAAGTATTTTTATATATTATATCCTAATTAAGGAGATAATAACAAGTATCAAGAAAGTGTTAAGATTATCTCCGAAAAATGTATGTGTCCTGGCTAATCTCATGTTAACTAACAGAGCTCTCCCCACAGAGCCTTTGTGCTAAGGGCGTGTGTTATCTAACATCCGCTGTTAGCGAGCGTGCAATAATAATAAAGAAAGTCAACAGAAGAAGCACAAAGCTTATGACTAATGCACTAATTGAATGAATGAAAGCTCACAAAGAGAGAAATACAGAGAGGGGCAGGGAGGAAAACAAATGCCGCATTACGATTTAAGTGGGTCAGCAGACCAACGTATAGAGCCACCCAAAACATAAATTGCAAATCTCAAGACACAGACCTTTTCTTGGCCACACTTGTATGGTAATGTGGGTCAAAAGCCTGAAATTATGTATTATCATTAAATTTCATTACAGCCAACTTTTCGAGCGCTTAAATAATGTCCGAAAAAAAATTCGGACTGGTCAAAAGTGGAATGCAAAAAACAAAGCGAACCCGTTACACCGCAATTCACGCAATGCCACCACTCAGTGGGTTGTTGTTTTATTTCGTCGCTCCTCCCTCCACCCTCTCTTTTTTATACAGTTATGGGAACGGAACGGATCGGAGCCACCAAATGCAATGTGGCCCCAGCCACAACCCCATCCACATCCACATCCCATCGAGCCAAAGAAAGCCAACTTGATGGTCCGTTCTTGTACGCATGTCCATATTCGGAGGAGTTCGGAGTTCTTGGAGAATGCGTAGAGTCCCAACAGAGAGAGAAATTATAAGATCGGATTTTATATACATAAATCCTGATTATGAAAGCGTATGATTGATGTCAAACAAATTTGATATGATTTGTCTTGGGTTTAGAAGTCTTTAAAGGTTTGACCTTAACTTTTTAAAGGACTACTAAGATCTTCGAAACTTAACTTAAATATGCTTTTTTCTCAGTGCACCTCCCCGACCCCATTGAGTCACGTCATTTCTGCACGCAGGAGTTCAGTGATCCCGCCCGCTTACCAAAAAAGTCCTCCCATCTCTCCGAGGTGTCCGAATCGGATTCTATGTCCATCTTGGTCTTCTCCGGCTGCTTGATTTACGAGTGCGTCTTGTTTAGCTTTGCCGTTGACTTTGGCCTGGCCAAGAATCTCGTCTCTAAATTTAGCCAGCTATTGCAGAGCAACTGAAGAGGCACTGAAGGAGGTCTGTTATTATCGCCACTGCCTGGGCTGCTGCATTAGATAGAGTATCTAAAATGGGCGAATTGTGACCGAAATGACTTCACCCACTGCAGAACGGAAAGGCAAAGCTTAATCAATGGCCCGCCGATAAGATAAGCACTTCGATTTAACTTTAAACACTGGCACCGACCTGTGCGATTTTCTTTTCTTCGCCGTTTATTTTTTTATATTATTCGCAGGTACAAGTACGAGTATCTGACTTTTATTCACCACTAGTCGGCAGATATCTTATCGCGGTCTACGAAGCTCCGGGGCAGAGCAAATATCCAGCAGGTACGGCGATGGCATTGTGGCCAACCAGCTGTTAGCCAACGCGATTCGGAATGAGAATACGCGAATGTATCTCAAAGTTGCGCTCGATTCTCGGAACTTTCGGATGACTAAACCGGCTCGCGAACTTTTTGTCTCAGAGGTTATTACTTTTGTTTCGGGCTTAGAACAAATTGCGGTCGATCGTTTGATTGAATTAAAAGTAATGGAGGGCAGAGGGAGCTCCTCTTCACTTGTTGATGTTATTGTTGCGAAACGCTAAACAATTCGTATGAAAACTCACGAAATTTGCAGATACAAGTATCTCGCGCTTCGGTGATTTTTCAGTTTCTCCCGTGCAAATCACCTTCGCACCGTTACTTCTAATTGCGGCAAATAAAAAACACTCTCGTCTCACATGCAGATATGTACACTTGTGTATTTTCTTTTCAATATTATTTTTGATTTCCCTTCTTTTGGTTGCTTTTCTTTTTACTTTTCTTTTTTTATTTTTTTTCGACGGGTAGGGGGCGGTACACACGGGCACACACACGCTCACTCGCTGGAACAGCTCGAACGCTCCAGGAACGACATTTCCAGCGCGCGTCTCAAATCGAAGTGACTTTCTTGAAAGGCCCCAAGTCGGAAGACCCGAACTGGCATCGGCTACAAGTTCTCTTAGAGAGTGCTGCTCTCGGTATTACAACCTATCCAAAGATCGGGGAGAGCCGTTCCAAGATGTTCGAGCACGAACATAGTATCTCTGTGCCGTCTGGAGTTTACAACATGTTCGAGTTGCCAGCCAAGAGCAAAAGCTAGCCAACAGCAACTCCTAGCAGTCGTCTGTGCATGATCGACAACACCACCAGGTGGAAATGATGATCCACTCATTGTAAAGGTGGACTGGATGGGATTAAATTTATTAAATTAAAAAAAAAAGGGTAATTTGAAGTATTTAAAGGAAGAAATGAAAAGGTGTTTTTGAGCACAGTTTGGCATTCACCAACTCACTTATGCACAGTATAACTCCAAATAGTAGGTACAAGGCATTTAAGAAATGTAAGTAACTCATTATCACCACTCCACCGAAAAGCATCAAGGCAAACACACCAATGATAAAGGACACGAGCATGGCCCAGCACATATCCTGAAATAAAGGATATGCATACTGATTACAAAACTAAGGATTCCAATATTCACTCACCCACATGGTGCCGAAGATCAAGAAGATATTGGCCAAGGCATTGATGAAGGCAAAGACCATTGCCAAAATGATAAGAAAAATCTGTTTGGAACCCATGACCAACTCGAACAGACTCACAGAGAAGACCATGACGGACAAGAGCATCCCCACCAAGCCAATTAAGATGCAGCCGATGTAGAGCGACCAATAGCCGCAGAACAAACGCAGACACATTTCTATATCCCCTCTCGTTTGACTAGAAATCACAAGCACATGTATCACTAGAATTTTGAATTAAATTTTTAATTTCAGGAGGGGACATTTTAGATGTTGACATCAAAAACAAAAAAATTAATTGTGGATGTATAAGTCAGTATAAGTATTTACAGTTACATAAAGAATCGTTTCTCAATTGCATATTTATTAAATTTTTATATTTTGGAATAATAAAAAAACTGTGCTTATCCGAGACTTTCTTTTTGAATTTAGCGCTTAAATTCTGATCAGCTGTTGCAACGATACCACTTGTCAGCTATCGATATGTTATCCAAAAACAGGTTTATAGCTTCGCTAAGCAATCGTTCCCAATTAGAATCCAGCTAACTGAAGAATCAGTAAATAATGGATATAACCGCACCGCCTCCTACTAAACGTGCTCGAACATCGTCCCCCATGGACGAAGACATCACTGGGATCCGGGCCATCCTGTCCGATGAGTTTGACGAGGACATAGCGCTCATCAAGGCGCACAGTTGCCAGTTGGAGACGAAACAACAGCTCCAGGCGGTCATCCAGGAGCTCTCCCAAAAACTACCGCACTTCCAGCACCTTAAGCGCGTTCAGGATCGCAGCGTGCTCATCTGTCCCAGTTCTGAGATCGGAATATCCAAAACGCTGGAGCAGCATCTCGAACAGTTTGCCTTCTCGGAGCACGTGCTACGCTCCTTGTGCCAGGGAGTCCGGGTGGTAGAAGTGCCTGAACGAATGCCCCGTCTACGAGTGCAGTACGAAAAAACCATCAAGCACTGGCCCTGCAAGTTTCATCCCAATCACTACTCGGAATCCCTTCGGAATGGCAGTAACTTTACTTCCGCACAACGGATCTTCCACAAGAGGATAGCCCAACTGCTGGTGAGGCTCTCAAGGGATGTTAATGCCAACCGACCCGTGGGCATCTGTGTGGATCCACGGCAGCCAAGCATAGTATCCATCGCCGGAGTCGGTGAAAACTCTAGCTCACACGAACATTGCTGCATGCTCCTGGTGGATTATGTAGCCAGAAGTCAAGAGGGCGGAGCCACAAAGACGGAGCTCGCATTCACCGAGGACACCGAATATGCCAACAAGGAGGGTGCCACCCTGCGGGGCATTCCCAAAAGCTACTATAATTACCTGAGAAATCACGAAGACTACAAAGACCTGACCTTCGGAGCAGAAAAATCGAGGGAATGTAACGAAGTGAACGCCGTTCAAGGAGCAGATAACTTGGCCAAATTCGGACCCTATCTGTGTACCGGCTACGATATCTATCTGCTGCAGGAACCCTGCCTCATGTGCTCCATGGCCCTGGTGCACAGCAGAGCAAAAAGAGTTTTCTTCGTTAGAAACTCCGAGAACGGAGCTCTGGCCACGAGATTTCAGTTGCATTCGGTGCGGGAGCTCAACCATCACTACGAAGTGTTCCAATTCACCACCAAGGAGGACGAGGATTTGACGTAACATTTAACAAAACTTGTTTTAATAAAGGTTTTATAAGATATCTTCGATTTTGGGAATTGTTGATTTCGGCGCCGTCGACTGGCGGGTGGGAGTGGACAGCAAGCCTAATAGCTGGCAATCTGCTTCCAGGATGGTTATATCCTTGGAGGAACCCAAGAACTTAGTAGACAGTTCCAAATCCTTAATGCGCAGACGAACGCGGGCTCCTCGAACGTAGTCACTGATGTTTGAGATTGGTTTATTGGATATCGGGGAGAGATTTCTTTGGGCTCACCTGGCATTGCGCGATGGACGACTGCAGACGCAGTGGAACTTCCAGCCAAAGTCTATGTACAAATCATCGCCCACCACATGAAAGATCTTGCCGCTGACCACTTTCCCTTCGGCGTTCCCCAGCTGCTCCAGAAATCAAAAGGTTATTACATAAACAAAGGGATAACATGGCATGAACTCACATCTATTAACTTCGAATTGCGAAGCAGAGAGGCAAAGGTCTGGTTGTCTTCAGGGATCTCCAGAGGCGCAGCAGGAGCTGTGTACTTGTCGAATGCGCGAGCAAATCCTCCTTTGTTGCTGCTAATCTCCGCTGTATTCTCTGCGGGAGTAGCTGTCTCCACCGGTTTTTCAGTTTCACCACTGATTAATCTCATGGCCACTGGCAATCGGTGTCGGTAGGTTAAAGAACCCACCTGGATCCCAGATCTACTTAGCTTTTGCAGTAGTGACATGGTTTTAATTTAATATTACTTATAAATATCCACAAGAAAATCCAAGGCAATTGGAAAAGTAAAGAAGAAGAGTGGTATCGATAGACCGCATATCGATTACAAACAGCTGTTTCAGCTGCAAAAAACACGCTGCCGAGCCGGGCCGACATTTATTTTGATATTACATTACGAAATCAGTAGAATTAAATAAAAATTAAAAATCAAATACTAACAAAATGATCCAGCAACAGCGCCAGAGAATCGAGGCCGCGGTGACGGACATGATCGACGACATGGACAAGACTCACCTGCGCAAAATGCAGGTAATGGTTTCTTCTTAATTTGGAAACCTGACTTTGACTTACTTCTTGTTTTTTTCAGAATGAGATGCATTTGTGTGCCGCCAAGTGCTGTCAGGATGGCACCTCCAGCGTCGATAGTGTACAGAGATGTGTGGATCGTTGCTCCACGCCTATGACGAGGGCTCAGAACTACGTCCAACATGAACTGGGGGAGTTCCAGGGCAGACTGCAGCGTTGCGTCATGGTAAGTACTCATTTCATCAACTTGTTGCTATGAAGTGGAGTACCTTAACTGTAGGGAATGGGTTTCTCACTTAATCAGATCAGCAAGAGCATATGGCTCCTACTGGAACAAAAATGTCGTTTTAAAGTTTATCTAATATGAATCCTTTATATGTACTCTACCTTGGATTAATATTAAAAGCATTTATAGATATAAATCCACTTTCAAAGATAATTAATTATAACACATTCCTTTTTCTCCACAGCAATGCAACGATGATGTGAAGGTGAAAATGCCGCCCAATCCCAACGAGGATCAGATAGCCAAATATACCGACCAGTTCGAGCGCTGTGCCATCCAGTGCGTGGACAAGCACGTTGGCCTCATTCCCGGCATGATGAAGACCATGAAGGCTGTGCTCTCCAAGGGACCCGAGAGCATTCCCCAAGTCTAACTCAACCTGCATTTACTACCTAATTAGTTGTTGAACTCGTTTATTTTAAAGCCTTGCAATTTTAAGCATCTTCGGTGTCATTAAACATTTTATCTATCACATTTAAGAATATAAACAAAAATGACCCTATTATTTGTTGGAAAGTCTTAAAGTAGATTAAATGTAGTGCTAACAATCTCTGGAAGCATGTCAAATTTTGCCACCACTTAAAAAAAATACAAATACTGTGTACACCGAAAACTGTCAGTCACTTTTTCTTTTGTTTGTCATCAAAATTGTTTAAAATTTAAAAAAGTTATGGTGGAGCAACAGAAGAAACGTTTGGAGAATGCCATCAGCGACATGATTGAGGACATGTACCGCACCCACTTGCGCAGGATGCAGGTGAGTGTGGTCTCTTCACCGCGATGAGCTCATAGTTAGGTTGATGTTTCTAAGTCCACGATGCACCGCTGTGCCGCCCGCTGCTGCGATGATGAACGAGGGACATTGGAAAGCGTCCAGAACTGCATCGAAAAGTGTGCCGCACCCCTGATGGATGCCCAGGACTACTTACAGCACGAGTTGGGTCAATTCCAGAATCGACTCCAAAACTGCGTCCAGGTAGGTGCTTTATTTAAATATTTGATATGGTTGGGTTATGGGTTAATAGGTAGGCTTTTATGGAGTTTATAAGATCCATATCTTTCACTTTAATTCGGTTGATAATACTTAGGATTGCAACACCGATGCCAGGTCCCGTCTACCCAACAATCCAAGTGACCGGGACATGTCCCGATCTCAGCACATGTTCGAGAGTTGCACGGGCAATTGTGTGGACAAGCATATTAATCTGATTCCCGGGCTGCTCAAGTCTATAAAGCAGACCCTGGACAAGGGTCCACCGAAAAGATCACGCAACATAGACGCCTAACCACGATATAAAACCCATATCATTCCTTGGATAGATCGATTAATGCCAGTTGGAGAAGTTGACAATATTATAATTATTTATTGATTATTTTTGGTACAGCTAACCCTAAAGATAACTTAAACGAAATTTTGATCCGGGGCAGGGCTTATCGGATGAGGGCTTATCAATTGCCACGTGGCGTGCCTCTTTGAACTCCATGCTCCCGGATGCTTTTGGGCCCTAGTTCATCCTAAATATCTAGTAATAAAGATTCTTAGTATTATGCAATAATACGAGCAACTATATTTGGGGATCTGGTTGGATCTGGTTGAATCTACTGCTCATTCTGCTTCGTTCTTACGCCGTACTTGCTCCAGAAGGTGACCTTGGCGGTGGTCTTTTTTTGGTTGTCCTGGAAGACGGAGCATGTATCGAAAGGGGGGCAGTAGAGATGCAGGGACACAGAGGTGTCCGAGTGACTGGGATTCTCCACGCGATGAAGGCCCAGATTATCTACGAAAAATAAAAACACAACCAGTAAGTAAGGGAAAACCCCATTTTTTTTAGTTTCTGATTTCCTCACCATTTATGTAAGCCACATCGTTGACGGCAATTGGTGTCTCGCCAATCTCCACCAGCTCCCGGCTGTCGACCTCTCCATCAGGATGATGGGATCGACCAGCATCCCTAGCAGATCTGTTGGGATACTCATAGCGCTTCTCACGAAGATCACCCTTCAGCATCTTCATGAAACAATGGGAATCGGCATGGTCGTGCACCGATGAGCCGTGTCCTTCACCCCAGCACAGGATCAGAAGATTAAACTTGCCATTGCCAGCATCCACAAGATTCCTGGTGTACGTATAACGATCGAACTTGGCGTACTTGCGCCACTCCCGGGGGTTTGACTTGTAGGTGAGCATCAGGTGATTCACCATCTCGATGTTGACGTAGTTGGACTCAAACTCCTTATGAAGGGCAGCCACCAAGTCCGTCAGGGAATTCACAGCTGGTCCGTATTTCAGGGGTTTCTCCAGCGCCTGATAGTAGCTAGTGGCCTGGCGCAGGTACTTCTCCTGGTCAACCTGCTCTATCTCCGAGTCGATCTTGGACAGGGCCATTTTGGGCTTGCTCTGATTGACCTACGGATTTAAATGAAAAACGGAAGATGGGGTGGTGCGTCAGTTAAGGCTGAAGGGTGTGGAAAACTACCTATAAAGTATATTAAAATCATTTCTCAATTGATTTAGATGAATTACGTTGTAAAGTTGATGATCCGCTGCTGATAGCTAAAGGCTGCTATATATATAAATATATTCCGATTGAGTTGCTGTTGGAAATTGTTGAATTGTTTCGAGTTATAATCGCACACGCTACACCTCGGATCGCAAAATTCGAACTGATTTCTGGAGATCTTGCTCTCCTGAGCCCAGGCTATATAATCTATTCGGATCGGACGTACATCGGAGGCGCAAGTCCGAAGTAATAACAAAAAACAAGAAGTCGCCGGCGATTATCGCCCAGGCGCAATTATCAATATTAGATTTTACCAATACCCTGGTCTATATACATATACTATATATAGTATATATATTTCCCCATAGACAGATCGAATGTTGCCAGGAGGGGCTCAACAGATGCGCCTGAAATTCTGTCAAGAGGTTAACGGCGATCTAATGGGATCGTTTTGCAAATAAAAAACAAATTTATTCAACAATTGTGTATTCCCATTCCAAAAAAAATATATTTGGCCGATAAGGGCATGGTCAGTGATAATGATTGCTGGTTGAATCTGGTTGGTGACGCATTTTGTTTGAAGATCTACGGGTCCTAGAATCTTAATTTTGATACATTTATCAGTTTCAGGGATTTTCCATGAAATGCAAAAATATATTTTGTTTCAAATACCACTGACTTTCTCTGGCTTAGGGGCAAAGTTTAATGATCAAAGATTCAGATACTTTCAGTTCTTAAAAGACACTTTAAGTCATTGCCTACTTTCAGGTTCGTTACAGATTTCTCTTAATTGTCTGCCATTTCGCAGTTAAGCAGATCACTTGACTGATGTAGTGATGCATTTGAGATGTCTTTGTGATTCAGGAAGTTCATTAGTGACTAACAAACCTGACCTTACTTTCTCCAGAAATAACAACTGAATAAACAAAAAAAAGGGTTCTTTCATTGTTCTTGAGTTGGCTTGAAGTTGTTGATTTTAATAACCCCTACAAGAGTATTATATAACTCTTAAGGGAAAACTTTCCATCTTGGCTGCAATGTCAGCGTAATGAACTTGCACTCGAGGTAATAACTTTTTAACGATCTGCAAGCCCTGTTGTTAAATGTTTCTCCCCTTAGTGCCACATCAAGGTGTTTCGGTTTGGTATTTGAAAAATGTTTTGCAATGGCTTAAAAGCATAAAACTGCCAGCTTGGCAGCCAACTTTCGCAACAGGTTAAGGCCAATAGCAAAGTCGAAGCAAAAACCAAAAGCTGCGAACTGCCATTTGTGTAAATATTAAGTGGGCAAACAATTTGGAAAATTGGTGGAAAGCCGAAGGCGATTTTCGGAGCAGTTCAATAAACTAAGATTGCAACTGAATTTTCTAAGTTTTCTATCTTTGAAAGTGATTTTTATTTTGGGTTTCTAAGGACAAAGGACTTACCATTTTGTTTGACTTGATACACTCTTTCTTTAACTTAAGACACTGAATAATTTTGGTTTGACTTTGAAATTCACTTTTTAAAAATACTTTTGGATGTCAGGATTTGGACTTGCACTTTTTTGAATTTTCACTGGTTAGTTGCCACTTGGATGCGCGACGCCGTGTTTGTGTGCCTGTTTTGGGTATCTTTCACCAATTTATGGAGATCTTGGCCAGCAAAGCCCCGGATTCGACTCAAAACGCAATTCGAGTCACAAAAACGACGCCGGCAGAGGCATCGCAGCTCGAATGGCATTTTGAGCGCTTTTGGCAGCCGCGAGCCAAAACTCAAAGCGGTTTCACTCGCTCCGATCTTGGCTCGTTGTTTTTGTTTGCTCAGTTGGCCAGGCCCGAAATTTATGCTACCACCACCACTGCCATGTCTATCCGAGGTTGAGCGGCCAGATATTTCAATACATTTCTCCCTCTGATCCAACTATTAATTATGAAGTCGTGCCGTTTTTTTCTGTTTTTCTCGGCTGATCTTCTTTGGTATTTGCGTTTTTGGCCAAGAGAAATGGCCGAGAGCCTTTTGTCAAAGCCACTCGACGGAATTCTCTAGCCAAATTTTTCCCTGGGGTCAGAATGATGAAAGGTTTTTTATCAAATTGTACGAAATACCCACATGAATTGTGTGTCAAGTACTGGTTGCCAATATTTGCTTAGCTCAAAACACTTGCCCTAAAAATTTTATTTTGATCATTTTGAGTGAAACTATATTTTGCCTTTTTAATACAACTGCATTGCTGTCAGTACTAAACAAATAAATATTATTAGATTTACAATATTGATTTATGGGAAATAATCTTGGAAAATATATATTTATAAACAGTAATCTCTTGATCTTTTTTAAATCATAATAATTTCCAGTGTATTTTAAAGATGTCAGCTATTTCTACCATATTGGCCTAATTAACATATTTGCGATCAGTTCGTGGCTTTCTAACCAGGTTTATTCAACTTTGAACTGTTCTTTTCGTATACCTGGCCCACTATGTAAATCATTTGCATATTCCCAAAACAATTCAAGACGAACATTCGTCTTTGTTTTCGTATTTTCGCCTTGAATAATGCAGTTAAAAACAAAATCAATGACCGATAGGGGAATCGAAAACAAAATATTCATATTTGTCAACCATCAAAGAGGGAATTCTCAAATCACAAAAATATTTGCGCGTTTGTATGAGTGTTCTTATCAGTAGAAAAATGTATTCTACGTATAAACAGACTACGACTTGTAAGTTAAAGGAAATAGATTTGAATTAACAATTTTTATATTTATTTCCCCATTAATTTCACTTGATTGATTCATAAAGTTCTTAAAGACTAGACAAAATACATAAATACATCGGTTACACGAACGTTTTTGGTTTAGACATTTAACTCTAAATGCTTTAAAAGCTTAAGTAATAAATTCTGCAAGAACTGCAAGGTTCTAATTAAGAAGCCTCAGTAAGCTGGATTTCATAAGTTTTATACGGTTTTAAAGGCAGAATTGGAGATGTTTATTTACTGAATGCAGGTTAATCTTCATCCTCCTCGGACATATCGAATTCGTCATCATCAAAATCAATTATCTGTATAAAATGTATATAAATTATTAAAAATTTTAGTTAGTTCTAACATTAGTTAGACAAACCTCGCTGTTTAGTCGCTTGAATTCTGAGATTCCAGTCAAATCCTCTAGATATTTGGCTGTTTCGAAAGTTTTAAAGAGAAAAGCGTGACCCTCTTTTTTGTAAGCATTCAAAACGGACTGTAAAGCAAATATATATAAGTTTTTAATAAATTGATTTAATATTTAGCTTAGCTCAGATCAATATAAACTATTTAATAAGCTTTACAAGTCTTACCGCTGAGCACGCGATGCACTGAGCAAACTTTTGAGTAGCTGGCAGAATATTCTCATAATTGCATAGCATTCCTCGAATGGAGTGAGGCAGTATACCCAGTAGACCTTCTGGAACCTTTCCAGCTGCTTCCTCCGCTTTGCCACGCCCACTTTGGGCATAATAGGCCGGTGCCAGTTCCTTTTGAGGATGCTGAAGTAAAGCAACCAGCAACTCTACGGCATAACTAGCTGCAATGTTGGATACTCCAGGTCGGGTTACGGTGCATTGTTGGTCCAAGGTACGGTCTTTAAGAGACTGCAAAAATGTTATAGCAATATATAAAAATCTTTAATCTATAATTGGTATTTCCTTAACGGAGCATTTCAACTAAAATGCACAATTTTTAATATAAAATACTTATAATTAGTAAACTAAAACTTTAGTATTTTTCTCCTTATAGGGTTAAAGATCTCATCGATTTAAGATATATATATATGATCTCGAAGAGCTTCGGCGCCGGTGCATTAGTAAGACAGAAAGCTTTGGAGAGCTTTCCAGTGTCAACAAACACATGCTCCGAGCAAACAGAGATGAAGCCTCCGCGCGAGAACATAACAAATATTAGGGCTTCTAAACCAAACCCAAAGTATAGAAACTTTAACGGTTCCATCGGTTACTTGAGTAACCCTCCGCTCCGCCCACAGCTGATTAGATAAGGTTCCGTCTATTGGGAGAGCCGGAGAACTCCGGACTCTCTTACGCCCCTACCAAATACATTGTGTGTTCGTTCAGCGCAAAGGCGATAGTTAGTTCAATTGGTAATTGCAGAAAGGAATCATGTTGACTGAGTTCGCTGGCAATCTATCGCATCCGCTGGAGTTCGGTCATGTTTTGGAGGTCGTGGCCAAGACCATCGATGGAGCAGCCAGGTGAGATGTGTCCTAGACGCAAATTAGTACACTGTTTGCGAACCCGTTTCGTGACTAATTGCTTGTCAAACTGGGCTTCTTATCAGTTTGTGACTAATGCATCGATTATGATCGCTTGGTACTGGTAGGTTCCACATTAACCTCTGCACGGCCAAGAGCACGGTAGATCCCAATGCAGACATTGGGCTACGCTTCTCGTGCTATTTTCGAAATGATGTGATCGTACGGAATTCCCGAGTGAACGGCTCCTGGGGCGAGGAGGAAACCCATGTTCCGGATCCGAACACTTTGCCCAATCCCATCGTCAGTGGCGAGTTCTTTCTGGTGTACATTCTATGCCTTGAGGACAGTTTCGCCATTTCGATAAATAGCCGCGAATTCTGCAGGTTTCGATACCGAATGCCTCTTGGGGCTTTAAGAGCCCTGGAGATCCGTGACCAGATCCAAGTGATTAAGCAGGTTGATCATCGTACTGTGTTTCCCAATCCCTGGCCCGCTATCCACGCTTCGGACTACTTCAAGGCATTCAGTAACGACCAGCCCATATTGTTTAGCCCTGGCCATGTGATTGTTCTTACAGCTCGCTGTTTTGAGAACAAGAAGGGGCAATTTATTATCAAGTTCATGGACTCGGACACGAAACGTGAGGAGCTTCATTTCAGCGTACGTTTTGATGAAAAGGCGGTTGTACGTAACTCCATGAGCAAGAACTTCGAGTAAGTCAGCTGAAAGACTTTGTAATTCTTGGTAGTTAACTTATCCTCTTTGTAGTTTTGGAAACGAGGAACGTCATGGCGGGTTTCCCTTCGTCTTTAACCAACAGTTTAAGCTTGCACTGGCCTTTACCGAACGCGAAGTTCTGACCGCCGTGGATGGTTATAACTTCTTCAGCTATGCTTGGCGCACACCAAATGCCATGATGAATTTAGTGGGCTTTAAAGTGACCACCATAAATGGCCTGGTGATTCAGATAACCGGTGTGGATCACCTGCAGACGGGAGACCCCACCTGCGCTGGCTTCGAAAAATATTCCCGCCATGATTACGAGTGTGTTTAGTAACCAATTAACCAAACTAAGTCTGAATATACAAATGTTAACTTAGCTATTAAAAACTTACATTTCCTGGGGCAGTGACATCGTTGCAGAAATAGCATCCTAATTGACCGCCATTGATGCACTTCAGACCCTCAATCTCTTTGCCACTATCGCCAGCCTCCTGGCGAGTAGAGCCATGTCGCATTACCAGGTAGCTATCAAAGCCAAGTGCTGCATTGATGACAATCTGGAAACAGCAAGTATTGGTAAGATCTGTTTTTGGTAATATCTGTATAATCCCACCTTTTCATTGGCCGCCCCCAGTAGGGTGGGTAGCCAGCGGCTTTCGCGTGAATCTGTGAGCAGAAAGATGACATCATGGTCTTGCACCTGCTGTTCTATAACCTGCAAATGCTCTTTTGTCTGAGCAAACAGCGATTCCCCAATAGTGTGTCCAGGCATGGGAATCTCTAGTACATGACCCGACGTCTCCGCAGAGGGATTGATCTCCCGCAATCTCTGGGCAGCAGTGGTGGCCTTCATTCGATTGCCCGCCACGGCATCTGCATGTGTGTAGAGATTCTGACGAACTGGATTAGAAAATCCAATCTTGCCATTATCCAGCAGGGTAATGTTCTTGAATCCCCAGGACTACAACAAATTCATATTTTTTAAATTGCTTTGTTAAAAGTAGAAGTAAACCCACCAAGAGGTTTCTAGCCACAGCACAACCTAGTGTACCAGCTCCAAACAGCAGGCACTTGGTTTTGGAAATGACTTCTAGATTCAGATCAGGAACCAAGCGCCACTTCATAAGTTTCAGGTTGAGATTTACAGAGTTCTCAGCGAGTCTAAATAGGGAAAAATAATTCATGTATTATTATCGGTAATCAGAGATTTGACATGAAATGATAACGGTATCTGCCTACTACTAAGGACACGCCTTATGAAATTGACAGTTCTTATCATTAGGGCCTAGAGCTATTATCTTACTTGGCGGGATCCATGCTGTCCCTCATGCAGACCATTCTCGGGCCCATTTTTCCATTTTTATTGAACTCCCAGCCCACAAATTTCACTTCCTTAGTTTGACTTAAGTCACACCCTTCTGTTTGAATCACCTTCCATATACGGCTGTCATCCATTTTCATTTGCTGGTTGTATCGAAGGCCCAGAAACTTAAGGGGTTTGCCAATAAATGAGGGACTGTAATGGACAGGACGGAAAACTGTCTATAGAGCTACACTTAATTAAGAAGCTACTTACCATTGCTGGAACAGAAATGCAGCGTAGTTTCGCATTAACCAAGCTGGATGCTCGTACTCGCTTGGATCTGAAAACCCAAAATAGTAGTGCTCTACATCCTTATCGTCCAAGGAATTTAAATTACGGACTTCAAAAATCTTCTGCTCTTCATTGGCATATAGGATGAAAAAGTTCTGTAATTCAGCCTGGAGGGATTTTAAAGCCTCTGTATAGTTAAGATAACCTGATAAATCCGATAGCTTTTGGACGGCACTCTGCAGTTTTAAAGTGGGCGTTAGGGGGCAGGGAAAGGCGAACCAATAATAATAGCTGTGGCTCTTCAAATCGGCAAAGGAGAGAACAAAGAACCGGGTCAACAGACTGGGATCGTTCAACGCCGCACCACTGCACATATCAGCTAGGAGTTCCTTGCCCTCATCGGCTAGCAGTTGTAATTTGTCCAGGGCCTTGAACTCTTCGATTGTGTTCTTGTTGTAGATAGTCCCGATGGCGGAATGACTGAATTTCGGGGGCTGTGCCGTCCTAAAATGCGGGCGTATAATAATGGTTTTATCAATTACATAAACTTTTCCAAACATACTTGTTATAGGCCGTATAGTCCACTTCCAGAAGACAACCACTAGCATTTCGGTTTGTGTAGTGTCCAGTTATAGATCGTTTTGAGTCGGACAGGCGATCATGGTCCAGTTTAAGTTCGGCCAGCTTGTGCCAAAAAGTGGGCGACACAAAGGATTCCCAAGGTGCAAATTGCAAAATCATCTCTTTATCCGAACTCATCGTTTGTTTGGGGGCGTTGTTTATGTTCGAACTTTGGGCTGAAAATAATAAACAAAGCTCTCGATGGCGATAGACCAATAACATAATTATTTATCGATAACAACAGTAGAGATTCATTAAGCTCATACACTTAATTTCAACATTTAATTGCTTATCGCTAAATAAAATTTTTTTAATAAACTATATCATATATTTATTGAATGTTTTGTGTTTTTAACATTAAATTGCCCAATTTCATTTTTAGCTTTCAGTTGAAACTGCACTATAGTTATTTTCATTTTCGGAATGTGGATGTTCACTGCACCATGTAATGGTCACACTAGTACACCCACTGCTGGTGAAGATTAGATTGACCAAAACAGAGCTAAAAACAAACCAATTTAAAATGGATCTGCAGCAGCTGGAGGAGCAAGCGCGCCAGGCGGCGCTAAAGGACATACAGAATATGCTACAACGGCCGGGACAGCTGGAGAAGGTGGAGCAATATCGTCACCGCATCGCCCGAAAGAAGGCCTCTGTGGAGGCACTCCTCAAGACCGGTATGCAGGGACAACTGGACGGTGTCAGGGTGGGTCTTAAGCAGCTGGAGACTTGCATGGAGGACGTTCGCGAGGTGAGACGCCGTATGGACGAGGTGGAGCGTCTCCTTAGGGGCGTTCCCGAAGTTTATGACGCACTCGAGGTCGTTCGAGAGGAAAACACAAAACACTCGCAATATGCCACTGCCATGGAAAATCTGAAGCACATCTTTAATGTAGACGCCAGCGTCCAAAAGACAATGTCCCTGATCGAGGACGACAAGCTGCTCAATGCCCACCAGTGCCTGGCTGATTTAGAAAACTCTCGGGATGATCTGCTCTACGAGCTACACAAACAACCCAAGCAGCACGCCTCCGACAAGATCACACTGAAACGCCACTTTGAGAAGGTGGATACCGTGTCACAAGAGTTGGAGAAGAAGCTGCGACTTATACTCAGTCGCACACTAAATACTTTACGCAAAAAGCCAACGATCATAGTCACCGCCCTTCGTATCATAGAGCGGGAAGAAAAGAATGACCAGTTCGCCCTACAACAGCAAAAGGTCACTGGATTTCTGCCGCCCGGAAGACCTAAGGCGTGGCGTCGAATGATCATGGACGTGCTGCAGCAATCGGTGGTAACGCGTATAGAAGGATCGAAGCTGGAGGAGCGGGCGGACAACAAGATGTGGCTAGTGCGCGACCTTGAAATTCTGCGGCAAATTATCCTCGAAGATCTGCGTGTGGTGAAGTCCCTATGCGTGCCCTGCTTTCCGCCGCACTATGACATATTTGGGGAGTACGTCAAGTTTTATCACGAAGGACTGTCTAGCTATGTGAGTAACCATTAGAGTTTATAAGAATAATATTAACCGGATGTTTTTCTGTGTAGCTTGACAACATAGTACGTTCTGGTTTGGAGGGTAATGAGTATGTATCAATGATGGCTTGGGTCACACACACATATCCAGGCGTTGAGTTGATGTCCCATCCTGATCTTAACGTGGACGTACATCGACTGATAGGGACTCTGCTCCGGCCAGAACATCTCAAAGCTTTAGAGGATGAGTACCTGCAGAATATGCAACGTAACTTCCAGGAATGGATGACCAAGGCCGCAGAGACAGAAAAGCAGGAGTGGTTCACCGAGACTGTGCCCGATCAAGATGATATGTACTATCACACATCGGCACCGGTTATTATATTTCAGATGATCGATCAACATCTACAAGTGACCAACACCATTCACCAGGAACTGACGTTCAAGGCGTTGGTAATGAGTATCCAGCAGGTGGAAATTTTTGGCCAGACATACTTAAAAAACGTAATCGAGCTAAAAGAGCATCATTTCCGCAATCGTGACCAGATTAAGTACTTCACTCATTACATTATAACCATCGTCAATAACAGCCAGCAAATGGTGGAACTGGCTCAGCAGATGAAACAGCTCTACTGGCCAAAGTCGCGTACGGAGCACTACGAGGATTTCGAACGCTTGCTGGCCACATTCCAGCGGATCCGGGCTCATGCCGCTAGCTACCTGTTGGAGGAGGCATTCTTAGATATGGAGTGCCACTTCAACGATCTTTTTACCGCCAAATGGTTAGCAAGCAACATTGCCGTTGACACCATCTGCGTGACACTAGACGATTACTTCCAGGACTACAACCATCTGCGGCCCAATAACTTCGAAATGGTCATCAATGAGGCCCAGAAGCTGCTAGCAAAGCGTTACATCAGGGCTCTGCTTTCCAAACGGCTGTCAAAGCCGCGGGTCGAGTGCGATGCTATTACCCGGAAAATCAAAACTGAAGCCAAGCGGTTTAAGCTCTTCTTTGAGAAGATTGCCCCGAAGATTTCCCTAAGCGACTCGCCACTAGATCTTATATCAACGTTATCAGCGCTGCTCAGCTCTGACATCGAGCTTCTTGTCCTGGATCTTCACACATTACTGGGAAGCTACCCGTCCCTGAACGAGGACCACCTGGTGCGACTCTTCTACATCCGCAATGATGTGAAAGCGGCTGAGGTACGTGAAAAGGTTCAAGATGCCATGAAGTCGAAGAAGGCTATGGTCAGCATAGCCAAGCAGGACTGCATATTCAAGGAGATCGTGTTCAGCGACAAACTGTGGTAGACCCTGGACACTTTCCATAACCCATTCCGCTTGACCCTCTCTGTTCAGTATCTTATTTACTTTTAAGCTAAGATTGTAATTATATTATTGTGCTTTATCAACAAATAAATTATTGTATGTTTAACCACATAACTTACGATTGTTATCAATAACTTAGGAGGGAATATACATATATCTTTATAATACAAATCTTTTTTTTTTATCAAATGATCTTTACTATTTTTATCTTTATCCGTTAAATAGCTAGAATGCCAGCACTTTTGGCGAAAGTAGTGTTGTAACGGTCGAAATCACGATTTTTGAAGCACTGGCCAGGCGATAACATATGTCAGGAGCGTATATATTCGCAACGGATTCTCTCCACGTGTCAGTTCCCCACGATCCGCGTACCCAGACAAGATGAGCTATAAAGTCCAGCCGAGCGGCTTCGCCACCAAATCCATCCATTCGGGCCAGAGCCCAGAGCAATGGAAGAGTGCCTCCGTGATTCCGCAGATATCGTTGAGTACGACCTTCAAGCAGGATGCCCCGGGCGAGCACAGAGGCTATGAGTACTCTCGTAGCGGGAATCCCACTAGGACTGTGTTGGAGACGTGCTTCGCCGCGTTAGACAACGCCAAGTACGGCCTTACCTTCTCGTCGGGACTAGGAGCCACCACCGCTGTATTGACCATGCTGAGCAGCGGCGATCACATCATCATGGGCGACGATGTCTATGGAGGAACCAACCGCTTGATCCGTCAGGTGGCCACCCGTCTAGGAATCACTGCTTCCTTTGTGGATCCCACCAAATTGGATGTTATTAAGGCTTCCATCAAGCCGGAGACCAAGCTGGTATGGATCGAGTCGCCCACAAATCCCTTAATCAAGGTGGCCGACATTGAGGCCATTGCCAAGCTCGTCCACGGAGTTCGCGAGGATCTGATCCTGGCGGTAGACAACACCTTCCTCACCTCCTACTTCCAACGTCCCCTGGAGTTGGGCGCTGATCTGGTCTGCTATTCCCTGACCAAGTACATGAACGGTCACACAGATGTGGTCATGGGCGGCATCACAATGAACTCGGAGAAGCTGTATAACAGCTTGAAGTTCCTGCAGAACGCTGTTGGCATTGTGCCCTCTCCATTCGATTGCTACCAGGTTAACAGGAGTCTGAAGACTCTTTCCCTGCGCATGGAACAGCACCAGAAGAACTCTCTTAAAATTGCCAAGTTCTTGGAGAGCCACCCTTTCGTTGAGAAGGTTCTGCATCCGTCTTTGCCATCCCATCCCCAGCACCAGATCGCTTTAAAGCAGACCTACGGATACAGCGGTGTATTCTCCTTCTACATCAAGGGTGAACTGCAGCACTCCTCGGCGTTCCTGAAGGCACTCAAGGTGTTCACCCTGGCTGAGAGCTTGGGCGGATACGAGAGCCTTGCTGAGCTTCCGTCCGTGATGACCCATGCCTCTGTTCCTGCGGAGGATAGGAAGACCCTGGGGATCACTGACGGTCTGGTTCGTCTGTCTGTTGGTCTCGAGGATGCAGAGGATTTGATCAAGGATCTAGAGCAGGCCCTCGACATTGCCTCAAAGGCCTAAGTCGTTCACATCACATGTATTTTCTCAGGATTATCTAAGATCGGAATTTTATGAATTTGTATATTTACCCACCCAATAAAAGTGTTTTGTCTCAAATTGTAGAACTGTTAAGAATGCTATTTCGATTATCTTTGCATTTATGGTATCTACGAGTGTTATCAAAGGAAACTGCTTTTGTGTGTTATAAACTTATTACAGCTGTTGTACTTGATATCTGCTTTAATTTCAATTTATTAATGGTTTTTGATAAACAATTATATAAGAATGTTGCTTTTGCAAAACAGCTGCATTTCGAATTTCTTTTAAAGATTTCTGAATCCTCATATTCGTGACCCCCCATAGCTGCAACCTTGAAAGTACCGAAAAAATCCATCGTCATGTCGATTACTATACACAAACAATGAATCAGCATATTTAAATTCGCTTCATCATTTAATCATTCTAAGTCGTGATGGAAGTAATTCATATCTTTCGAACGGATGTTCCGATTTCTTTGAACAAACAAGTTCATTAGCCTTTAAGATTAGAAAGGGTTTAGTTTCAAATGCAAGAATAAGAAAAGGTTCAGTAGAAACATATTTTTATTAAACTTTTACCGAACTGGAAGTTCTAATCAGTGTTGCTTATCAAAATCATTGCTTTCTTTATATGTCTACGGACTTTTTGGTTAGGTTCATAAATATAGTGTGATTTTAGAAGTCTTCTAGTTGCCTTTACATAAAACAAGGATGAGAAAAGCGTCAAATAATGATGAGAAAATTGTGTTTATTTTAACAATTCCCGATACGTGTCTGACAGAATGTAATTGATTAAACTTAAGCTTTAACATTATATGTACGATATCCAAAACCATACCATTTGAAAGATACATACTATTCTGAAGTGTGCATAGTATTAAATGTACAACAAGGGCCATAATAAGCAACTGCGGCTTTCCAACATTCATAATTTTGCGTTCTATATATGTATATCCTTAAAAATGCGATTCAATTGCTTAAAGTAACCAGTAGTTCATGTGCAATGCTTGTCCTTAGTACTTGTAACGATAAATAGCGACACCAGCTACTCCAATTAATATGGAACCCATAAGATAGCCAAGAAGTTTGAGCTGCAAAGAGTAAATTAAAACGATTAATCAATAATTCATGTATTTTGGCAATTAACTCACTTTGGAGTTTTCCACAAGTGGCTGCTTTTGCCTGGTAGCAGTCTTCTGTTCCATTTTCTTGGCCTGTCCGAGCATTTTCTGATACATCTCCTTTTCGTTGTGTTCTTCACGTCGAGCTTTGATGAACAGCCTGGCCAAATCCGACTGAACGGCACGATTGTCGGGCTCAAGAGTAGCCACCTTTTGCAGCAGCTTAATGGCGCCCTGGGTGTCGGCCTTGCCCTCCAATATCTGTAGAGAAATTAAAACAGTTAAAAAGTATGAATAAACAAAGGGTTTCGGGCTACAAACTTACCCTGCCTTTACGGTACAAGGCCTTAGAGTTGTTAGGCTGACACCGAAGGACATGCTCCACAGACTGCAGCGCTGCGTCAAAGGCGGCAATTTTGATTTGAGTCATGGCCAAGTTATTGTACACAATCAATCGATCCTCTAGCAGAGCCTGCGTGTCGCTGTTCGAAAGCTCAAGATCCTCCTTATCGAACTCGGACTCCGGATCCCCATCTCGATTGTCCAAAAAGTCAAGAGCACGTCTGTACAAGTGGATGGCGGTGGTGAACTCCGAGCGCTTGTAGAAGAAATTGGCACGTTCTTTTTTGCGGGTACTGAAAAGGAGTTTTACCTATTAAGTAACCTCAAATACCAGGCAGTGATAAACATACCCATATTTGCGCAGTATTTCAAAGCTCTTGAGGTCCGCGAAGTCTTCGTATTTGATATCCAAAAGCTCTATTTCGTAGGTAAGCTGAAGTCATAGAAAGATATAATGCATTTCTTCGAGATTTTTAAGAACAAACTTACATGCGAATCAGGTGGAACCAAATAATCGGTTTCGCCGTCCTTTTTCAGTCCAAGGGATCCGTAACCAAAACGGGGATCCACGCTGACTTGGGCCACTTCGCCGATCCGCAGCATTGGTACCACCATATCCAAGCCCTGTATGACCTCGTAGTCACCCACATGACATTGGAAGTTCTTCTCGTCCTCGACCACCTTGCCGTTGTCCAGTTTGCCGGTCAAGTTAAGGGTGACCAGCTCCCCACGAACAGGACGTCTAGCTTCCTCTTGAGGCGGCTTCTTAATAGTGCGTTTGATCAGCTGTTTGTTGCCCAGTATATCGCACTCATCCTCGGGATCCTCTTCCACCTCTTTTTTTTCATCTTCCGGAGCTGATGCCGGCGTTCCATCCCCGGAGGCAGCCTCCTCTGCGGCCACTTTGCGGATATCCTTAGTATCCTCAGCGTTGGTCAGATCCTCAAAGGAGCTGCTGCTAGACTTCTCCGTATCCATATTTACCTACGGTTGACGAGGCGAAAGTGTGTAAATTAATGGAACTCGGAACAAAGGGCAAAGGCAAAGTCGACTGAATATACAACTTTGCGGGTTACGTTGACACACGGATATGCAACTTACGGCAGTATCTGAAGGTGGTCTCGGATTTAAGTAACAAAAAGGGTTCGATGTGATTTCGAAATCAACATACGACAATAAAGTTACAGGGAAACGAAAAAAAATTTACTGCCTTCTGCCAGCTAGTGTACCAGTGTGACCGATCTTCAGAGTGGCCGTTTGCCTGTAAGGCGCAACAGCAGCAACCTACAAATTAATAATAATAAATAAATTAATGATTATTTTTAAAACAAAGGTTGGCTAACAATATAGTTATGGATTTGTTTTGCTTATAAATATTATTATTTAATTTTGTATATTTTTAATATTTAATATCGATAGGCAGATCAGAAAGTCGAAGGTGTGACCATATGACCAGCAAAATATGAAATTGAATTCAATTCAAATTGCTGATCAGTTTCTTTTCAACGGTTGCCGCGATCGGTTGGTCGACGGATGTGAACGATCCGCGTTCCCAACGCTATTCGAGATTCGGGTTGGCCAGATAAAGACCGCGAAGGCAAAGAACGCCGCAAAACAAAAAAAAAAGACGTAAACAAAAAGGTGACATTTAAAGCTGCTGCATTAAAAGTGCATTCAGCACGATTATCATCATGGCACGCGAATCAAAATGAAACGGGCACTTGTATGTGCACAAAGTGAAATCAGCTGGACAACAGTATTTTGCAATTGCCTTGGCTTATTTTGTGCCTCTTGTTGTTGTTGTTGTTTTCTGTGAAATTAACACTCTTTCTATTGGCAGTGATGGGAAGTGTCTGTTTGGCTGTACCTGTATGCAAATCCGGGTACTAGATCTCGGTATAGATTACCTTATCAAGGGACTTCAGGTGCGGACTTGGCTAGAATTTTTTTTTAAGTCTATATATTTCTTTTTTTAATGTCATTTATTTGGAATATTGACATTCTTCTAGCATGATGAAAGTTTAAAAGATAAGTGGTCTCAAATCGCTAAAAAGAAAATCTACCACTTTATCTGCACATACCATAGGCAGTTAAAAATCAAAGTACCTTTCACATAACTATCTATGGGCCAAATATTTATTGGCTGGCTTTTCCCAATGCGGTAATGACAAAGTCGTGTAAAGAAACCCAACTTCCTACTTGTCTTGAACTTGATGCGCTTGAACGAACCAACGAACGAATATAGTTAACTATATATGCCCACTTTCATAGATAAATCGAACAATGCACCCGACTAACATCATGACACAATTGATGCACAAAATGCATCCCAGTATTTCCTCGATTAGGTATTTTCGCTTTTACCCGCTTATTTATTTACTTTTTTTGCAATGTGCAATATCTTTTTGTGTGTGCGAAAAATCGGTGGAGCAACCAGTTTTTTTTAAGCGCTGCATTTTGACGTTGGCTTTTCATTTACGTAACTTGCTGCCCGATCGGGCACGAGCCAAAACCCAAAAATAAATATCAAAAGTAAAAAAGTAAATAAACAACCCAGTTAGTGGTTTTCACTTCACTTCTTCTTGGGACTGACCATACTAGGTCCCAGGTTTAATCCACAAAGCCGGTAGCCCAGCACGTTTTCATTATCGCACACTTCCCATCCGGAATATCAATGGACAGACAATACAAATATATATATATCGTGGTTATATTAAGGAAATGTAAATGTTAACGTTGATCCACAGTTCGTTGGCCAAGTGAACCCGCCGACGACGTTTCGGAAATCACTTTGTGCACAGCCAAGTAAATACGGGTTGAGTTCAATGAAAACCTAACTGATTTCGAATTCTAAACAGTATAGTTTGGTGCCAATTCTGCCGCTTTAAGTGCCAAAAAAATATATTCAAAGTGAACTAAAAACTAAATAAACAATTATGGCTGGACAGTCAGTGGTCTCGAGTGTTTGGCTTTTGTCTGGAGTTCTATTACTCATTACTGGGACAAATGCCTATGGATTTGGACGTTGCCCGAATTACCCATCGATGCCAAAGTTTAATATGAGCCGGGTAAGTTAGTTGCTTGACCCTATCGAACCGGAAGTTGGCTAAAACTATAATATATTCTCTGATCTTGAGATCAAGTTCAGGGTCACAATGTGCAAAATTAATATATTACCTTCGCAAGGCAGGTTAGTTGCTCATTTAAGTAAAAACCTTGTAATAGAAGCTTGTTTACTGAAAGCAAAAACGTTGTGATAATGAGGTAACAAAAAAGTAAATACTGAAAGTCAAGTTACCCCTTAGCATATCTATAGATCAGTCAGTATATGCCCTACCCCTAAATCTCTTGAATGCACTTAAAAATCCGCAATTCATCACAAATTTGAAATCATCTTAAACGTGTCACATCTTCGATTAATTAGCACAAGGCGGCGGTGGAAGACAAAGACCTTTCCTCATTTTGTGGATTGTGCATAAGATGAACTTGAACCAATTTAAGGCCACCAAATTCCGATCCACCGCCGTGTAAAATGCAAACCTGTTTTACAGAAGGAGACGAGAGGCTGAAAAGCTTTATGGCCTGTCCGATGGTAAACAAGCCACTTATTTTATAAAGAAGTAAATCAACCAGTACCATTGCTGCGACATGGGCATATGCCAAGGACAACAAATTGTACTACAGTCTGACATCTCTAAATGAAACATTCAATTGATAGCATTTACATTACAAGCAACTTGTTTTTGGCAAACAAAAAGATGCTTCCGAATTTCAAAAATTACTTTTGGGATCATCTTCGTTGGGAGAGCAATTTTATAATTTACATAAAATAAAAACCTTAAAAATGGTGTCGAACTTTATTGTTGGAATTACAGCACTTTAAAGCACTTTTAGCTAAATGGCTATAAATTAATCATAAAACATGTTGGTACACAAATAGTTGGAATTTTTTGGAATTTTCTGTCTCAATTAAATAGTAGTTTATGTTAGAAAAACTCGACTATTAGTTTGGGGGCACAGCTGAGATCATGGACTAGAAAATTGGCTCAATCACTTTAGCAGCTCAGATTAAATTGATTGAGCCTTGATTTGCATAAATGATAATGCACCATAATTGGCCCAGTGTGAAAGAGGCAATGTGATTCACATTATGTGGGTCCGCCGACCTCCTCTTCATCACTCCTCTACCCAACTAGCACATCATCCAATTGAGCTGTTGACAGGCGTGAATTAAGTGACTTGACATCGTCCCCGCCCCTCAACGCCCACTTTTGACCCGGGGCAAAGACCTCGGTCCGTCGTCTGGTGTAATTAAATCCGATGCGGCGCCCTTTGACTTTGAACTGCAAGATGGGCTGCTGCCAAAAGTACGACTCTCCTCAATGGCCAGCAGCCAAGACCTAAAACCAGTTCCCAAAAATGTTTACGTTTTACGCATTGTTTGGGTTAAGTCGTGTTTGGATGTTAGGTAGGGGGGCTGAATTTGTAACTAGTAACCCAGTTAAGTGTTTCTCGACCAAGAGAAACGTTGGGTGACAAAGCAAGTCTATTCCCAGAAAGGTTTTGGGTTTCAGGCTTATGGTTTTCAAATGGTTCTTTTTCCAGTCAATGTGCCAGATGCATGACATATGTAAGTTCTGATAAAGCAGTTGGACAGCAGAGATACAATCACATGTACTGGAATGAAATGAGTTAAACATGTGCCCCATATGTTTTAAAGATACATGTATAGTTCTAGTCATGTACATATGTAGAGCTTACAACGAAGATTAACTTAACAAAGATTTAAGGGCAAATGCTAATAGACTAAAGTTAAGCTAACACAAAGTGAAAACTTTTTTAGAGAATCATTTAGCGGATGCGCTTTGGGATTATTTACAAAACACTTCTATATGTTTTCCTATGATATTCTATCTATCAATTATAAGGTAAATATCACATTTTTCCGCAGGTCCTTGGACATTGGTTCGAGGTGGAGCGTTCATTTTATCTTCCAGAAATCGCCTCGGGATGCACCACCTTCCAGTTTGAGCCCTACAACAAGGGAGAACTATCAAAATTTTCTAACTTCAAACTAGCTGTGGCTATTAAAAACATCAACCGCATGTGAGTAATCCCAATTCTCTCCATCCTTTCAGATTTATTATTTGTTTTCTTTTAGAACTGGTAATCCGAATGTAAACATTGGTTATGCGACGCCGGAGAACAGTCGATCCTCCATAATGGATTTCAAGGTATGGGTTTTCTTTCCATAACAAAAAGATTTTATAATTCAATCTATGGATAACCCCTTAGTTCACTACACGTTTTCCGGACGTAATTGCTCGTCTGCTGCCAGGTTCAGGGAAGTACCAAGTGCTCTACACGGACTACGAGAACTATGCCATTTTGTGGTCCTGCGGCAGCATTGGATCCCTGGGCCACTCTGACCAGATATGGATTCTTGGGCGTGATCGAGACTTTGAGGTTGATATTCGTTCTAAAGTCTATGACGTTTTGAAGCGACTCTCATTGGATCCGGAAAGGCTAATTATCAGCAAGAACAAACAATGCCCAGAGGCGCTGTAACACGCTCCATGCCCGGCTCATCCCCCATCCCATATATATATTTAAGTTCATTCGGTTAAGGAACAAATTCCATTTGATGCCTAATCTTTTAGGCTGCTGTGATATCCGAGGAGTGTGAATCGGCGATTTGAGGCGAAAAAACGCAAATACAAAAACAAATAAGAGTAACTCGATCGGGGATTTTCAATAATAACATGAACATTGCCAATTAACGTGGGTGTCCTAATTAGTTTGCAATAAATAGAATTTCCCAGTCATCTGAACTTAGTCGTGATTTACGAACGAATCGAAGAGGTTCTGCCCGGAGATGTCCCAATTGTGCATCTTGTTTTGCTTGGTTCTCCTGGTCGCACAGGCGCAAGTATCTCAGGCGAGAGGAGGCGGCGGCGGTGGAGGAGGACACGGTGGCGGCGGACATGGTGGAGGTTTCGGAGGAGGACGTGGCGGTGGATTTGGAGGAGGGAGAGGAGGTGGCTTTGGAGGAGGATTCGGAAGAGGTGGTTTCGGAGGAGGGGGCCCAGGATTCGGGGGACCAGGTCATGGAGGCTTTAGAGGAGGACCACCCGGTGGATTCAGAGGACCACCTGGTGGATTCAGAGGACCACGTCCATTCTATGGAGGATATGGCGGATACGCTGGATATGTCGGATATGCAGGATATGCTGGAGTTCTTCCTGTCCCCGTACCTGTTCCCTATAACCGTTGCTACTACGGTAGTTACTATTACAATTACTACTACTGCTGATGTGATACGGTTATGGATGGTTTATTTATACAAATTACAATCAACACGTTGTTTTAGTTACAAAGATTATGTAAAGTTACCCAGAAAGTCGGGCTGTAGACAGTTCTCTAAATATTCCATATCTCATATATGTAACTTATTGTTTTGATGGTCTCCGGTGTCTGGTTCCTGTTTGTCCACCCAGTGATCAATGATCAGTGTGGAGTGCTGCGATGGCAGTGCTTAAGCCTAGTCAAAAATTAATTCCTTTAAAATGCAATCTACATATGCGCATATAGATAAACTTAAACTACAGACTAGATATGAGTACGACACTTTGATGATGCGTTCGTTGTGGCAGACTATTCGATTGGTGACCGAGAGATCAGAGGGTATGAGTATAAAATAGTATCTGGATCAAGTAAACAAAGTGTTATGAGGAAGCATCAATTGAAAGACTTAGTACCGGAGCGACTTCTTAAAGATATGGAATGGTCTTTAATCTAACTTAATCACAATCCTTCCGATCCTCTGATCTCACTTAGTGCAGTAATTCAAATCAATATGCATAGGTTCGTATAAAAAGAGTTTGTTATAAGGTGGGTTGACTTCGAAAAACATTGTCCAGGAATGCCACCTCGAATGATTAAACAATAAATCCCCATAAAATACAAGTTTTGTTATTTAAAACTCCTAAACGTCTAATGAAACTTTCATGGCATTCCGTACAACTTTTTCACAAACCCTGGCGTGTATATACGGTTCTATTGGGTGCCCCGGAAGACGGCGGTCGATCGTTCTGTGGCAAACAGATAATATACTTTGACTTCAGCCGATGATCCTCTAGAGCATTGCCTTGCACTCACTCTCGGCGATGCTGTGCTGAATGCAGTGGTTGATCTCAGCAAAACCAGGACGCTCGCTTGGTTTGCGGTTCCAGCAGCGGCGCATCAGCGCGTAGACAGAGAGCGGTGTGTTGTCCGGACAGCCGAGCACGTTGCCCTCCTTGATGTACTTAATCACCTCCTCATGGGTCAGCCCAAAGTATGGCTGCAGGGCGAAAGAGAAAACCTCCCACAGGCAGATGCCGTATGCCCAAACGTCGGACTCCAACGAGAACTTGTTGTACAGGATGCTCTCCAGTGGCATCCAGCGGATCGGTATGAAGTCGTTTTCATCGCCCTTGTAGTAATCCTGCAGATAGATCTTGTGGGAGAGCCCAAAGTCGGCGATCTTCACTGCCATGTGCTCGTTGATCAGACAATTCCGGGTAGCCAAGTCCCGGTGGACAAACTTCCGCTCTGAGAGATACAGCATGCCAGCTGCAATGTTAGCGGCCATTTGTAGCAGATGCAGCTCATTTAGCTGAAGGCGATCCCTTGCCGGCGCCTGGTGGGTGGCATATGGTGAGCAGGCGCGGAGAAACTCACTGAGATCGCCGGGAGCCATGTACTCAAACAGCAGGCACATGGGTCTTCCCAGAGCACACACTCCCAATAACCTAACGATATTGGGATGATCGAACTCGGCCAGCAGACAGGCCTCACGTTCGAAGTCCATTTGCATTTGGTCGCTGGCGTCGTCTTTAAGCATTTTAACGGCCACTAGAAGATCTTCCTGATCGGGGACAAGACCGGGAGCTCTGGCCTGGAAGACGCGACCGAAGGCTCCTTGGCCTAGGGACCGTACATAAACAATATCCCCGCGTGGGTATTCCAGCTTCTCCAGGCGTGCATTCGGTTTGGTGCCTTTCGTATCTGGCACATTGGTCACCGCTGTAAGAGCTACGCAATTACTGTGAACCGTGGCTGTGCTCCTGATGGTGCCCCACTTTGCTAGGGTGTTGGTGTTTCCATTGCCTCCGAGAGTTTCCCGACTGGTGTTCAGATTTCCACCGCACTCTCCTCCTCCGCGCATGGAAACATTGCAATCTGCAGTGGCTGTTCCAGGAGGTTGGGAATAATCCTTTTGCTTGGACAGCTTGTAGACGAGCAGGATTATTAAGTGCAGGGCGACAATAGCCACGAAACCAATTCCAGCCAGAAGGAAAATCATAGAGGGCGTGAAGAATTTTTCCATCTTGATGGGGGTATTCAAATCAACGGCATTGGGATCTACATAATCAGCTGGTAATTAACAGAGAAATTAGTTAAAGCCAGGGAGCAAGGATTATCTATGAACTTACGACACATGGGTATATCGCAGTGTTGCCAGCGCACTGATTCATCCACTGTATAGCACCAGGGATGTGGCTCCTCACCACCCGCATTCCGACAGTAGTTCTCGCCCTCTAGGAGCTGATGGAAGACTAAAGGAGGCTGGAAGTGCTTGTGAGGGTACTGCGTGTCCCAGCGCTGGCAGGGTATTCCAGACTTTGACACGTTCATTGTGCCCATGTAGAAGCGTCCATTACCATTGCGGCAATCATCTGAAATAAGGTTAATGATAATAAAATTAAAAAGGATCGAGGATATTCCAGGTAAAAGGGGACTTACAGCTCACTTCCGACTCCTTGAGTTCAGTGAGACCGATGTAGGAGCAATTGGGTCGCCGCATGGAGGCGTTGTAGTGCGGCAAGGAGGAGCAGTTGGGCAGACGGAAGTGTCCGCGGCTTTTGATAAACATGTTGCGTTCCTTTTTCTCCTCAATGAGCACCCAGTCATTGTAGCAGAACTGCAGATGAGTGGCCTGGCAGTCCTCGAAACAGAGGGGAGCCTTCACAGCTCGACCTCCTTCCATGTGGCAGTTGGGAAAGGCATAGGCGCAAAGCATTTTCTGTAAGGAATTAATGTTGGTGATGTTAGTTATAGTTTATAAACATTTATTTAAATTTCTAGGAACTCACCTCTGCCGCCTCGCGACACAGACCCGTGAGATCCGAAATTAGCTCATCCCAAAGCGCTGTGGCCACCTGCTCATTCTTCCAACCTCCGGTGGGATCGTCCAAACTGTACCACACCTGACCAGTGAGATACTCCTTGCATACCTTGCCGCTGTAAGGAGCACAATAGCCGTTCTCCTCCCGCTCACGTTCCCGTTCGTGATGACGCTGATGGTGGCGCCGGGTGACAGGTTCCTCAATGGCATTTAGGGAGTTCGCGTGCGTGGCACTGGCTGAAAGGAACACGCACAGCCCCAGGACAGCCAAGCTGGCCCCCCATTTGACCCCCAAACCCCAAAACACCCGCTCAGCCACCCCCACCCATTGCCCGGCAGTCATGGTTGTGTTTTCTGTATATGCCTTGTTTTGCACACCGATTCTAAGCGAAATCCTTACAAATCTTGCTTTAATCTAAGGCATTTTACAGGTTTACACTAGGATAAGCCAAGTTCATTAAATATTAAATATTTTTTAAGTTATAATTCAAGAAATATTCGGTTAAATATTTGTTTATTTGCGCGCTCACTGCTCGACGACGCCTTTTCACCGAATACCACACAAAGTTTGACGACGGGATGTTTCGCCACCCGTAACTTCTCCCTTAGGGGTGGTTTCCTGTCAGAAGAACAGGGTTGTTAAATGCGCGGCAAAGGCGGCCGGAGAGTCTTTTATTCGAGTTTGGAAGCTACTGCACAACCGAAATGTTTGTTTTTATTTATATTAATTTTTCGTCTACTTCTCTTCCTTCAGCTGCTTCTTCCTCATCTTTTCCTCCTCCTTTCGTTGCTTTTCCATTTGTTTTTCCTCCGCCTTCAGCTGTTTTTCTCTTAGCTTGCGCTCTTTTTCCTTCTTCTTCAAGAATGCCGGATCTGTATTGCCCTCATCAGGATCCCTTTCCTCCACCTTTTCTTCTTCATCAGGAATTTGTTCAAGTCCCTAAAATAAAAGGGCTTTACACACCTGACCAGGGAAATTAAAGCTGTGTAGGAAAACTACAGGAAAAACTTAAAAACAACCATATCAACTATCACTTCCCAACTAAGCGTTTCGTTTATTCACTTTTGCACTTAAGCTTAAACGGAAAACTTCACTTAATTTAAATTAATTGGTTTTCTCATCTGGTATGGCATCGAGACCCTGAAAGAAAATTGGGACGGTTCTGAATAAAGGACATCGGTTCTTAAAACTCTTATGATGGTCATGCAAAAACTGATGAAGATGATGGATGAACATAAAAACGGATAGACATTTAAGATCTTAAAATGAAAATATAAGAAGTAAACCATAAACCACAAACTATTCAAGCCATAAGTAAAGTGTGTAATAAAATATGATAAATAATAATTAAAGGCAGTACTTAAAATTAAAAACCCAGAACACTCATTTAAGAACGAAAGCAATTATATCAAACAATAAATGATAGTTATGTTAAAAAAACATTTTTTTTTATATAACATTAAATACATTTATTAAACATCAATCAGCCAACTTAATGGCTATAACACGATGTTAAAAAAAAAAAAAAAAAAAAACAGTTTTTAAAAATGAAAACTAATAAGCGTATCAAATGAAAACACAAGCAATGTTTTAAATATGAATATGACATGATATACTAAAAAATCAATAGGTTTACCATTTTGTTAATACATTATAGGTCAAAACCTTTATATGAAAACTAAACAACACTATGAGATAACAAAACAGCTGCCAAAAATCCAGCAACAACAAAAACGTGATAAAATGAGTGGCCAAAATAAATTTGTTGTAAGCAGGCCAGTCTGTAGCAATATCACTTACGTTCATCTTGTAGGGATTGTCGGTCAATCGGAAATCGCGCTGGTACATCACTCGGCTGAAACGCTCGTCCATGTTGCGCCGGAAAGCCTGTAAATCGTAAAACAAATATTAGAAACTCCGTAGCCAGTGTCCTTTCAGCCATAAAACTCATCGCAAAAAAGAGGCGGTTAAATAATGTTAAACAAATTCCGATTAGTGCACCACCAGCTGAGGTTATATAAGAATTTCGAGTTGCTTGGTCAAAAGGCCGTCCTGGAACTCACATTGCCAATTGTCAGCTTATCCAGGCCGTACATGGCGTATATGGGCACCGACAGAAGAGTGGTGATGATCACGGCACCAGGTAGGATTTCGAACCACATATTGTCGGGGAATTAGATTGTTATGATATTTTCCGCAAGACGACACTCAGTGTGACCGTTCTTCCGCCGTTCAAAATATACAGCAGATCCCTAAGAAATATACCAGGTTCTACGATATTGAATTAGAGATGTCAAAATAACGATACAAAAGTAACAGTGACTGATGTAAGCCAGCTACTTTGATTTGAAGAAGCACAGTGATTTATTTATATATCACTATTTTTGAAATGTGTATTTCCAACAAATATACAAATAGTATTTCAATTGGTAGAGTTATATATTTGAAATTTTATAAATATTAGGCACATTACAAATTACATATTTTTCAGTGTAAGGTTGTGTTACCGTTTATATTTTTTTATATGTTTTGGTATATTTGCGGTGTATTGCCAAGTCAGTTGTTCCATTTTTTTGCACTCAAGTTTTGGTTCTACCAATTCTCCATTGAACAGCGACCAGGGAATTCGCACAGAGTTCTGAGCGCAACAGCAACAACAACAAGAATATAAAGAACTATAAGAGCGACAAATCAACGGATAGCAGGATGGCCACCAGCGGTATTGTCGAGTCATTTCCCACGGGTGCCCTGGTACCCAAGGCGGAGACTGGAGTGCTAAACTTCCTGCAAAAATATCCAGAGTATGACGGTCGCGACGTCACCATAGCCATATTCGATTCCGGCGTCGATCCCCGGGCAACGGGACTGGAGGTGAGTTGGCACTTTTTGCAGACGCTCTATGCCGATGGCTAACTGGTGCTCCTACTTAGACCTTACTTTCCTATTGTGTCCTTTAACCTAATACGACTGCTTCTTCTTCTTCCTACGCCTTATTTTCCTTGCACCTACGACCCTTTCCATTTGATCCTTTTTTTCTTGCTTCTGCTTCTCTGCATCTCCTTCATGTCTTTTTTTTCCTTTTCCATCCATTTCCTTCCGTATATTTTCGACCTTATCATCGTTAATCCGTTCCTGACCCTTCCCAACAGACGCTGTGCGATGGGAAAACCGTAAAAGTGATAGAGCGATACGACTGCTCTGGATGCGGCGACGTGGACATGAAGAAAAAAGTGACTCCAGATGAAAGTGGCAGCTTTAAGGGTCTATCCGGCAATACACTTAAACTGAGTCCAGACCTTATTGCCCTCAACACCGATCCGGACAAGGCGGTGCGAGTGGGCCTCAAGAGCTTCAGCGATTTGGTGCCCTCCAAGGTAAGGAACAACATCGTTGCTCAGGCCAAGCTTAAGCACTGGGACAAACCGCATAAGACAGCTACTGCCAATGCCAGCCGCAAAATTGTTGAGTTCGAGTCACAAAATCCAGGTAGGTCAAGTGATTTCCTTTTTTGTTACTGAGTTACCAAGGATTGATCATCATAGGGGAAGCCTCCAAGCTGCCCTGGGACAAGAAGATTATCAAGGAGAATCTGGACTTTGAGCTGGAGATGCTCAATAGCTACGAGAAAGTGTACAGCGACATTAAAACCTCCTACGACTGCGTCCTCTTCCCAACGGCCAATGGCTGGCTGACAATTATCGACACCACAGAGCAAGGAAATCTGGATCAAGCCCTGCGTATAGGCGAATACACGCGGACACACGAGACCCGCAACGTGGACGATTTCCTCTCCATATCCGTGAACGTTCACGACGAGGGCAACGTATTGGAGGTGGTAGGCATGTGCTCGCCTCACGGCACTCACGTTTCGTCTATTGCCAGTGGGAACCATAGTTCCCGGGATGTGGATGGCGTAGCCCCGAATGCAAAGATCGTATCGATGACCATCGGTGATGGACGACTTGGCTCCATGGAGACCGGTACTGCTTTAGTACGGGCCATGACAAAGGTAATGGAGCTGTGTCGCGATGGACGACGCATCGACGTTATCAACATGAGTTACGGCGAGCATGCAAATTGGTCGAATACTGGGTAAGCTAGTACAAATGGTCTGACGGCAGCTAATCCCAGAGTTGTGGATATCTTTTAGTGGGTCTGGGTCGGATGAAATGCGTCGCAGAAGAAAGAAGATGTGTGCGTCGAGGTAAATGACTTGAGAATTCCGCATACTCACACACTATTCCTCTTGTCTCCGACACGTTCCAGCCGAAATACACACCCTACTGATAACCGTTATAAGGCATATAAAGATCCCTAATCTGTATCTCTAATCTTTTGCAGCCGCATTGGAGAGCTGATGAACGAGGTTGTCAACAAGTACGGCGTTGTCTGGGTTGCCTCTGCTGGTAACCATGGCCCGGCTCTCAGCACCGTCGGGACTCCACCGGACATCAGCGAGCCAAGTCTGATCGGCGTGGGTGCCTATGTATCGCCACAGATGATGGAAGCAGAGTATGCAATGCGAGAGAAACTGCCTGGCAACGTGTACACCTGGACATCGCGGGATCCATGTATCGACGGCGGTCAGGGCGTGACCGTGTGCGCTCCAGGAGGAGCCATAGCTTCCGTGCCACAGTTCACCATGAGCAAATCACAGTTGATGAACGGTACAAGCATGGCAGCGCCTCACGTGGCCGGCGCGGTGGCGCTGCTCATCTCAGGACTGAAGCAACAGAACATCGAGTATTCGCCGTACAGTATTAAGCGAGCGATCAGCGTCACTGCCACCAAACTAGGCTACGTAGATCCCTTTGCCCAAGGACATGGTTTGCTCAATGTGGAAAAGGCCTTTGAACATCTAACGGAGCACCGGCAGTCGAAGGATAATATGCTGAGGTAGGTTTTGTTTTCAGGTTTTACCTCATATTTAATCTGTGGATAACCTTTTCTATAGAAGGCAGCCAAACAGGTGTATTTTATTAAACTTTTTTGAGCATCACAAATCGGATTAACATTTATATATTATATAACAAAGAAATTATTCCGGTTATTATGTTTTTGTATTTGTGTTTTGTACATCCAATTTAATTTCTAATTGGTGGTGTATTCTCTTCTTCGTTTTATTTAGTCTTATCAGAAATACGATGAACCTGCTTTACATTTTTATACCCGTTACTCGTAGAGTAAAAGGGTATACTAGATTCGTTGAAAAGTATGTAACAGATAGAAGGAAGCTTTTGCGACCCTATAAAGTATATATATTCTTGATCAGGATCAATAGCGAAGTCGATTGAGCCATGTCCGTCTGTCCGTCCGTCCGTCCGTCCGTCCGTCCGTCCGTCCGTCCGTCCGTCCGTCCGTCCGTCCGTCCGTCCGTCCGTCCGTATGAACGCTGAGATCTCAGGAACTATAGCAGATACAAAGCTGAGATTAAACATGAAGATTCTTGAGGTCCCGGGACAGCGCAAGTTTATTACAGCATCCCGCCACGCCCACTCTAACGCCCACAAATCGCAAAAAACTAAAATTGCTGAAATCTCAGGAACTATTGCAGATAGAAAGTTGAAATTCAGAAAGTATAATCTTTAGATGACAGCGAATCTTATAGTTCTACTACTATCCGGCCACACCCATCCATACGCCCACAAGGCTCAAAAGACGGTTTTCGGATTTTCTAGAAAAGCTGATATCTCGGTAACTATAGGAGATAGAAAGTTCGGATCAAGCATGTATCTTTCTATGATGCTCCCAATGCGAATTGTTTTTTTCCGATCACGCCACGCCTACTCTAACGCCCACAAAACCCGAAAAACCAAAAATGCAAAAATCTCGAAAACTATAAAAGCTACATAATTTTGCTTAGGAACACGTATTTAAGATATGCCTCTGCAATTTGCCACGAAGTTGCATCCGGCCACGCCCACTCTAACGCCCACAAACCGCGGAAAACTGTGGAGTCTATAATATTATTATGAATGCCTTTGTTTGACCTTGTATAACTTATTTTTGTTAATATCTATCGATTTACAAAAGATTTTTCAAATCGGAACATTATTTCGCTATTTATGAAGAAATTAAGGTTATAAGGCTCTACATGGGCAGTGACGTCACTATAAGCATACTCAACATACTTCCTCTGACAATAGGTGGCGCCTTCTGAATTTCCACTAGCAAAATTAATATTTTAAAATTGTGTAAAACAGTAACGGGTATCTTATAGTCGCGGCACTCGACTATAGCGTTTCCTCTTGTTTTTTTTTTGCAGCCTTTATGAACTGATATCTTTGTTTTCGTTTTCGAAGATAATAAACATTATAATCATATAATTTTATAGAGGAATTTGCAATTACACTTTGGTGTTAGTCTGTTTCCTAACTGGATGATAATGTCAATCACTAATTAAGATCCCCATTATTAAAACGTGTTTTTATCCTATTTTAGGTTCTCCGTGCGTGTGGGAAACAACCAGGCCAAGGGCATTCACCTGCGCCAAGGCGTTCAGCGCAAATTCATTGATTATAACGTGAACATTGAGCCAATCTTCTTTAATGACAAGGAGGCGGGTTAGTACAGAGTACGAATCACTCTGTTTTTGTTCTACATTTTTGTTTAATTCCAGATCCCAAGGACAAGTTCAACTTCAATGTGCGCTTGAATCTCATTGCTTCACAGAGCTGGGTGCAGTGTGGAGCTTTCCTGGATCTCAGCTATGGCACCCGAGCAATTGTGGTGCGCATAGATCCAACTGGACTCCAACCAGGCGTTCACAGCGCCGTGTAAGAAACATGCCATCCTTAAAATTAGACTTTTCTTTATCAAATTAATTTGAAATAACTAGGATTCGTGCATACGATACCGACTCTGTGCAAAAGGGTGCTCTCTTTGAGATTCCCATCACGGTGATCCAGCCTCATGTGCTGGAGTCTGATCAGAACACACCCGTCTTTGAACCTGTCTCTACCAAGGGAGATAATAGCGTGGAGTTCCAGCCAAACACCATTCAGAGAGACTTTATCCTGGTGCCTCAAAACGCTACTTGGGCGGGTAAGCTTTGTGAAGCTTTGAAAAATGTCAGTAAAAATATAACTAATTATTCTATGGCAGAGCTGCGCATGCGCATCACCGATCCCAATCGTGGCAAGGACATTGGCAAGTTCTTCGTACACACGAACCAGCTGCTTCCCAAGCAATCTTGCCGGAAACTCGAAACTATGAAGATCGTAGGTGTGGGCTCGGAAAAAGAATCTACCTTGGCTTTCAAGGTTAAGGTGAGCAAATCGAGGGCTACTGTGTGGTTTCTATCGCACTCTTATCTTGAATTATTTGTTGCAGTCTGGCAAGATTTTGGAGCTCTGCATTGCCAAGTATTGGTCGAACTATGGTCAGAGCCATCTGAAATACAGCCTTGTTTTCCGCGGGGTGGAAGCCCACAATCCCAATGCTTGTGAGTGCTTTTTAAACTTTGTATAAGATTTGTTGTACTAATAAAACTTATATTTTACAGATGTTATGCATGCCGGAAGAGGTATTCACAAGCTGGAGATCGAGGCCCTGGTTTCGGAGGATGTTCAGCCGCTGTTGCAGCTGAAGAATGCTGCTGTGGTTCTTAAGCCCACCGAGGCCAAGATCTCGCCGCTAAGCGCCACCCGGGACGTTATCCCAGATGGACGACAGGTGTACCAGAATCTGTTAGTCTATAATTTGAACGTGACCAAGCCCGCAGAGGTGGCTCTGTACGCACCCATCTTTAACGACTTGCTGTACGAGGCGGAATTTGAGTCCCAGATGTGGATGCTGTACGATGCGAACAAGGCCCTGGTGGCGACCGGCGATGCTCACTCCCATACCTTCTTTACAAAGCTCGAAAAGGGTGACTACACAGTTCGATTGCAGGTGCGTCACGAGAAGCGGGAACTACTGGAGAAGATATCGGAGGCCAACCTGGTGGCCTCCTTTAAACTGGCAAACATGCTATCGCTCGACTTCCACGAAAACTACAACCAGTGTATCGTGGGAGGCCGGAAGTTTGTCTCTGCCCTGATGAGAGGATCCACGCGTGTTCTGTACATCGCCCCCATTACCCAAGAGCGCCTCACCAAGGCCAATCTACCCGCCCAATGCGCCTGGCTGAGCGGTAACCTGGTATTTCCGCAAGATGAGGCCGGCAGACGGGTAGCTTTGCATCCCTTCACCTATATCCTCAATCCGGCAGAGAAAAAGGCACACACGAATGGTTCAGGGAATGGTACCATTGCTGCGGGATCCACAGCTGCAGCCGCCGCCGCCGTCACTGCCAATGCGGCTAAACCCAAAGCTCCTGGTACTCCACAGGCGGCCACATCGGTGAACAATCCGGCTGCTGGCGATGGAATCACAGTCCAAAACGATGCGCCTGTTGACGTCAGTACCAGCCCTGCTTCGCCGAAAAAGGGCAAGGCCAATGCCGACGACTATGCCGAAAGCTTGCGCGACTTCCAGTGCTCGCACATTGTCAAGTGTGGTATGATTTGAGAAAATTAAACATCCTTTTCTATGATTATTTCAAACAATTTTCATCTTTCAGAGCTGGAAATGGCTGAGAAGATCTACAACGATGTCGTGGCTACCCATCCCAAACACTTACAGGCTAACCTGCTGCTCATCCAAAACATTGAGTCAAACCAGTTGAAGTCCCAACTGCCTCTTGCTTTTGCTAATGCCCAGAAGGCATCTCCCCCGGAGGCAGGAGAGGGTTCTGATAAACAGAAGGAAGATCAAAAGAAACTGCGCAGCGCCCTCGAACGCATTGTCAAGCTGGCAGATAAGGTGATCCAGGAGACCGATGCCGAGGCACTGCTCTCATACTACGGACTAAAGAATGATACTCGCGCCGATGCAGCTAAGATTAAGACGTAATTGGGATTAGGTTAAGAATTCCTTAACAGAAATTAATATTCTCTCCTTTAGAAATATGGACAAGCAAAAGAACAATCTCATCGAGGCGCTGAGCAAGAAGGGCATTGCTCTTTCCAAGCTGGCCGTTTTAGATGACAACATTAACGATCGCCTGGTCGAGATCAACGATCTGTACACGGAGATTATTAAGTTCGTGGACGCCAATGACTCCAAGGCTATTCAGTTCGCCCTGTGGCATGCCTATGCCCACGGTCACTATGGAAGAATGTACAAGTACGTGGTGAAGCTGATCGAGGAGAAGCGCTCTCGCGATCACTTCGAAGAGCTGGCCGCCATTAACGGCGCCCTGGGTCACGAGCACATCCGGACTGTCATCAACCGTATGATGGTCACTGCCTTTCCCAGTAGCTTCCGTTTGTTCTGAGCACCGTAAAATAGTAGTCGCAACAAAAATTCACGCTTCGATGCGATCATTGTTTTTTATAACTAATGTAATCCATATGTATATGAATAAATGCTATTAATTGAAATTAAAAATTTTAAAGCTAGTTTTTCACCTTCTAGGCTAGTTATGAAATATTAATAAAACTAATAATTCCATTAAAAAGAAAATAAAACTTTTAAAAGTAACGGAAAATTTAAATTTAACAAATACGCTACAACGGTAACTATGGCATTTTCCAACACTGAGTAGTGGTAATTGAGCCGACTCCGCTCGACGGTCATACTAATTGCAGCAAAAAAACAAAAAACAATGCAGACGCACACGCGAGTGTAAAATGGGTAAGTTTGACAGAAAAAGAGCAATTAAAAGTTGAAAAATTGCCTAATTGTGCGGCTAACAAAACGAACTAATTGGTGGCTGGTGAAAAGTGTATGGAAAACGGCTTTAAAATGTCTTTTTCCTGCTACGTAGTAGCGATTAGGCTTCCGCTTGCGTGTGTGTTGTGTGTGTGTGCGTGTATGTATTGGCCGATCGATTTTATTTTGCATATTCAAGGACAAGTGAAGTCCTGCGGGAAAGTGCTGCCGGGATGTGAAGAAATGGGGCGGAGCCGGAAACCACAACGGTCTCCGATACCAAGTTCTATGAGTCAGTTGAAGCAAATATAATCCCTGGGACATTATCAGCGCTCCGCAATCTGTGTACATGCATTTGTTGCTCAATTTCCACCCCGCATCCTCTTATTCTCGTTCCTCTTTCTCCCCCACTCGCCTTCACCCATTCATTGTGTCAACTCCGGAGAGGACAAACAATGGCCCCTTGCAGGCGGATGACAAATGCGGGTGCAGCGACATCAAGAAAGAAGAGTAAATTAAAGTGATCCGACTACAAAATACCCTTTTTCACAGGTGTTTTAAGAAAAAATTTTCATCTTCAAATGCAGCCCATTGCCTATTTGCCTAAATGTATCTTCTAACTAATGGTTTCTGGTTGGAATTTTTTAAAAGGGACTTCTCAGACACCGTCTTGTATGATCTACCTGATCTATTACCTGTTAAAAATCTCGGCAATAACAAGCAAATCCATTTAAATCTCCGAGTAATGGGTATAAAACAAGGCAATCGGAATTCTGTGTCAATGTGCTCACGTACTCCTGCGTTCATCTGTGTGCGTGAGGTGTTTTTGGGGGTTGGGGGAGCGGAACTTTTGGGTATTCAGGAGATGTGTGTGTTTTATTTTATCATATTAAAGAAAAGAAAAAAACATCTGCGTTGGCGGATCGATCGTTAAAGAAGATATTTATTGCCTAGGGTATTCCCCTCATTCGCTCTTCACATCAAAGATAAGGGCCCCCGAGATTTGGTCTTGTGCGGTCGTTTATATAGTATCTATATAATATATACCCAAGATCTTAATGTGTTTATTTTTGTACATTCTTCGTTTCCAGAGTATCCACAAATTGATTTATACGAATTCCTCACTGAGTCCGAACTGCAGCAGTACTACAATGCCGTCAAGTGAGTGACCCAAAAAGCGGAAGCACTTCCCCTTTCCAACCTCATCCGAACTAAACCTCACTATACGTTCTACTCCCCCGCAGAAACGAATTGAAAATAACGAACGCGGCCCAGTTCAAGTATGCGGCGGACGAGGATTTGCGTTTTATTGGGCTCTCGCGCCCGGAAATCCGGAGGCTGCGAAAGTTCTACGAGAAGCACTTCCCCCACAGCTACCTCAGCAAGATCAAGCGTCTGCTGCAGGCGCCTGGTACGATGGTGAAGCGGGAGGAGCCACCAGGCGGTGTGGGTCAAGTGCCGCTCGATGGCAATGGCACGTCTCCCAGCTCCTCACTGGCCGCCAAAAATGGAGCCAGTTCGCCGGGGAAGGCGCCTAACAACAAACACATCATTCCGGCGGACTCCATTAGTGTAAACAAGCAGTTGGGCACCGGCGAGTTTGGTATAGTTCAACAGGGCGTCTGGTCCAATGGTAGCGAGAGGGTGAGTTGGAATAAGCTAGTATCAGCTCCAAAATGGTTAAAACCTTTCTTTTACAGATTCAAGTGGCCATCAAATGCTTGTGCCGGGAGCGCATGCAGTCCAATCCCATGGAATTTCTCAAGGAGGCGGCCATCATGCATTCCATTGAGCACGAGAACATCGTGCGACTGTACGGAGTTGTCCTGGCCACAGATTCGCTCATGCTGGTCACTGAGCTAGCGCATCTGCGATCGCTGCTGGAGTGCCTCAAAGATTCCGGGCTGCGCGTCAGTTTCCTCACCATCCCCACTCTCTGTGAGTTTGCCCTGCAGATCTGTAATGGAATGCGCTACCTGGAACAGAAGCGCCTCATTCACAGAGACCTGGCGGCACGTAATATCCTTGTGTTCAGCAAGGACAAGGTGAAGATCTCCGACTTTGGACTGTCGCGAGCCTTGGGCGTAGGAAAGGACTACTACAAGACCAACTTTAATGTAAATTTAAAGCTGCCGATAGCTTGGTGTGCTCCCGAATGTATCAACTATTTGCGCTTCACCAACGCATCGGATGTGTGGGCCTTTGGAGTCTGCCTCTGGGAAATGTTCTCATACGGATTCCAGCCCTGGGCTGCGCTAACCGGTCTACAGATCCTTGAGGCCATCGATGCACCCAACTACCAGAGACTGGAACAGCCCGATTGCTGCCCCAGTGAGTATTATACACTTATGATGAAGTGCTGGCAGGACGATGCTGCAAAAAGGCCGCGCTTCGGTGAGATCTATGACCAACTGCCTGATATGAAGCCAGAGCAGCTTAAAGCTGTGGTGAACTGCACAGAGCCCAAGAAGGACCACCTACTTTATCGCCAGGGCGATATTATAAGCGTTCTTGATCGCAATACGGGCTCGCCATTTTGGAAAGGAGTACTCAGCACTGGCAAGACTGGCTACTTCAACCCCTCCAACACTGTAGCCTTCCTCGAAGGTCTGCCCAGCTCCAGTCGAGACTCCTTTAGTCGAGTGAGCGACCACAGGATCAGTAAGCGCAAACTGCGCACAGAAATGATTTCAAAGCCACAAAATGACTTCAAGCACACCGGACATGTGGGCATTGATGGAGCTGGTAAGTTTAGATGCATCTAATCACGTTCTGAATTACTAAACATTAATTTTTGTTAAATGTATAGCCTTTGGCGATATTGCCTTCCTAGGAAGTTCACAGAATGTAAGTATATTGATACAGATGTTCTTTTCTTGGAATACTAACATATGTTCTTTGTTTATTTTAGTATAATCACGTGCCCAAGCAAATAGTGACTCCCTACAAACCATCGGAGGATATTGAGCAAACTCCACTCCTCCTGCCACCGACGCCCACGAGCCCGGACTCGCTGCAAACTGCCAGTGGTTATTTCCCAGAGGGTGCCAGCACCGGAGGTGCCATGGGAACCTCTATGAATCCCACATTCATTCCATCCGCCGAACATACACCCAAGCTGATAGCCACGAATGGTCAAAGCTCATTTGACTTTGCCAGTGGATCGACCAATCCGTTTTTCCTTAACAGAGGGGATGATGAGCTGGAGTTTGGCTTGCAGAATAACAACTACGGTGTGGATGGCAAGAGCATACATTCGGGGGAGGCGGGCTGGCGTCCCAGCTCACGAAGTATTGTTGATGATCCTCATGAATATCACGAGATATCAGATGATGAGATGGCGGCCGACAAGCTGGACTTTGGGCCATCGCTGCTGGATGAGATTAACTCGATGTTTGGATCGATTAGCGGAGCTTCCGGCAGCCACCCCAAGTCACCTGGATTTGATCATGTGAACAGCAAAAACGAATTTGCGGAATTGTCTGTTAAATTGGGCCAAAAGAGTGGCGACACTAATGGGAACAAGCATGGACATGGGCTGCTTCCCACGCTGTCGAAAAAGAAATCGTCGGGCACTGTGAAACCTATTTCTGTAAAGGATGAAAAGATTCTCAACCATGCCATTGAGATAGCCAACGAGATCAGTGCTAGGTAAGATGAGATTTTTGAATATGAAATATATTTTCTAATCCTAATCGTTTTCCCTTTTAGGTCAATGATTGATCTTGTTTCTGATCAGACCCCCGCCATGCACAGTCCTAAGCGCAAGTTCAGCTTCAGGTTTCCGCATTTAAGTAATAATGGTGGTAGTGACAAGGCTGGCGGACTAGGAGGAGCCAGCAGTTCTGCCCACACTCCCACCCATGGCAATGCATCGCCTTTTTCCAAGAAGAAAAACTTCACCGAGGAACTGCAGAGCATTCCAGATATTCAGGTAAGCTCATTAAGGCGTTACATTAGATAAGTTTTCCAGTAGCGCTACGTCATCGATCCCTGGTTCTCAACTAGATTCTAATCCTCGAGTTTTGTCTTCAATTTGCTCTTTCTCCTTCACCAACATCGTTGTCCTTTCATTTCCCCTTTTGCGTTTGGCATTTTGTTTTGGTTGTTTTCTCGTTTTGCTCCTTCATTGAACCGAGCAGCGTTTCCGATCGCTGAGCGAGATCAAGAACAGCACCGACCTGCGTGTGCCCATATTCGACAAGGAGAGCTCTGATTTCCTATTCCAAAAGTCGCGAGAGATTCTTAGCCGGCCTTTGAATCTGGAACGTGAGCGTGCGGAAGATCAGCAGCCAAAAAGCATCGACGACAACATCATGGACATTGAAAATACACTGAAAGCGCTCAATCTGGATTTTATGCACACTTACACAGAGTTGGACAAAAGTGACTCCAACGATACGATCCTCAATGACCAGTTGCCGCATCTGGCCAGTTTGGATGATGGCATCAGTAGTGCCACGGGCAGCCTAAAGTCGGCGGTCTACAGCTACAGTAACGGCGTGCAAACCATGTTCGATTTTAATGCGGCCACCAGTCACCTGGACAAGCACCTGCAGTACATGCACAACCAGGCGCAACTAAGTGCCGCTGCTCCGGTGGATCCCAAGCCCATGGAGGACAAGCGCTCGAGCACTCCAGACACGGGATTCGCCTCGAGGGACACCAACATCTCTCTGTCGCGCCGTAGTAGCCAAAAGTCCAGCTACAGTCCACAGGAAAGCTTCCACTTTCCACTCAAGGGAGAGGCACTATTCAGCGCACCTCCAGTCATTATGGCAGGAGGATATGCCAGTCTCAAGGATGAGCTCGGCTATGAGCGTTTTGGAAACGGAGCCACCAAGCAAATGCTGGCCAGCGCCTCACCCATTAAGTCTGGAGCGGGTCTCAATGCTAGCAGTGCCTCCGTTTACATGGGATCAAAGGGTTACCGTCAACGTTCGACATCCTTTAACGAGAGCTTTCATCCCATTTCGCCAGTTCTCTCAGAACCACCGCAGCGAGAAAGGGGTGTAATGCAGCGACAAGTGAGACTGGAACATCAGCCGCCTTTGCCACGTCGTTCTGCATCGTATAAGCCCCGTTCCATCAGAGCTCGCACCCTAAGGCGGTTGAGCTACAATCCCATGACTTTGGATTCCAGTTCCTCCAGCGGCGAAGAGCCTGTCAAGCCCAGCCTTGCCCGTTCCGAGTGCGACATCCGTGCTAGAGTGGCGGCAAGCTCGAATTCTTCGTTGGGACGGCGACGTCGAGCGGGAATGAATCGTCAGGTTCAGTCCGCTTGCCACGACGAACGTGAGGCCATTATTTCCCCTCGCCAAATTTATGGTTCCAATTCGAGCATAAAATCAGCACCACACTACAATATCGGAGGTCAACGTCGTAGCTTCCATAGAGGTGGAGCTGGCATGATGGGAGCTGGCTACGAGCAGTTCCAATACGACGAGCGCATTTACGATTTCGGAGGACGTGGTCCGGGCAACAACTACAACATGGCCCATGCGAGCTATTTGAGTTCGAGTCAAAAACCCAATTATATTTTGAACGGAACTGAGTTGCCCGGATCCGGGTCAGGATCTTCTTCGGCAGCCTCGTCGGCTGTGCAGGCCACGTACAGGACAGGAGCTGGTGCTCCCATACAGCGACCAATGAGCGGTGGCGCTGCACTGCACGAGTTCGATATTAGTCGTCTCACGGGAAAGAGTCCCACCTCAACCAATTTTGTGGGAAGTTCACCGGAAGAACTAAAACAGCGTCAGCTTTCAGCGGGCTCTCTGCTGGCTCCAACTAACAAGCAGACGAAGCCTCAGCGACCCACTGAATTCCACTGGCCAGAGAAGATTCACGCATCGGCGGTAAAGCAGCATGAGATGCATTGGCGACAAATGCAACAGCAGCAACAGCAACAGTTGACCACGGCAACGATTATTAGTGCAGCAGGTGTTGGAGCAGTTGCAGGCAGGAGATCCAGTGATAGCTCCTCCTCGTCCAGCACCGAGAGTGGGGATGAGTATCAGTTCCAGCGCGAGTTCGTTGCGCCGCGAATTCCGCCCAGTCCGGCTCCATAACTAAGGAAAATGCTGAAATACGTTCTCAATTTACTGTTCGGCAACGTGATGTCTGATTAGAGACAAAACATGGGAAAGATACGAATTGGATCCGAAAAGCCTTGGTCACGGATGGATGCTTCAAGCTTGGCGGTGTTGTGTTTGTGCTACTGTCTGTGTGTGAGAATTGGTAGGGAGCAGCGTGTAGAGTGTTGGCGTCGAAGAGTAAATTGTAGAAGTATTTACAGCGAATAGATTAACATATATTTTTTGGATTTGAATTTTTTGAAGCGAGATGAGAGTGTGCCTTATAGGAAAACACCGAAGACCTCTCAGAACAGATAATAATGATGTGCAGATCAGCTGCACACCTTCCAACTCATTCTATCATCCGCCACATAGTTCATCGTCATCAGCTAAACTCTACTTTATTGAATCATTACTAGCGGCTTACCCTTTTCTAGTTTGATTAATATGGCCAAATATAGTGGGTATCAAAATTACTCTTTCAGAGTTCAATATCTAACTTTAACCCCCTATTTAATCCAACTAGAAACTGGTAATGCCTCTGAAATTTTCTCTTCATATCTCAAACAGAAAAGTACTCTAATTCAGTAGCCTAAAGTCAAAATACAAAACGTTTCTTCAAATTTTCACTACAACAAACAAACATATATAACAAAGATAATGGCTTCCAAATGGAATAGAAAATGTTCAAGTAATTTTTTTAGAAAATAAAACCCAACAAGAGCTTGGTTGTCGGAAACAGTATTTCAAGGCACACGACAAACACAAACACTCACACTTATTGAGGGGACTCCAACTAGACAGGGTATTACCTATTACCAGTGAGCGGTAATTATAAGTCAAACACACACACACTCACACAGAGACAAAGGAAAACAGCCAGAAGACAGTCACCCACACAAAACTGTTGACAATCCTCAGAACTTGTCCACATCAAAAGACATTCGTCGGGGCAAGAATCCCGTACGGATTATGTGCCATATCCTGACGCTTGCATTTTTTATGAAACCAAAGCTAAAGCGAAACCAAAACCAAAACCAAAAACCAAAAAGCAACAAATGTTAAAAAACGATACCGAAACCAAGAGAAGCATTTAAGCTCACTTTAACTAGAGTGTCGATAACCCTAAAGTATCTATAAGATTGGAGATTTGGAAGTGTCAAGCACATTGACCCACTAACCAAAAGCAAAACTAAAATTTAACTTTAATTGAATTGCCGACGGCTGCAAAGTGTCGAAACATTTTTGATAACCTCACTAAGAATATATATATATGGATTATACTTACTAAAAGATTTTCGCATTCTATGCATTTATGGATAAACTTAAATTGAAAAAATATGATATACAGATTATATATACACCTACTTAAATCTAAATCAACCTAATTATATGTATACAAGTATAAAGGCGAATGCGCTGTAATGATATTCTAAACTATGCGTTTGAAGCGTTTCAACCCAGAGAACATTAAACTAAATGAAAACCAAAATTTACTCGAGTATTATACAAGAAAACCCCAAAAACTAAAAACTAAAAACTAAAACCTAAACTACATTCAACTAAGCAACAACTATTTGAAAACAAAAACAAGTGAAGAGTTTGAATTCTAAGAACCAAACAAGTTAATTGGTAATCAAAAAAAGAAAATGTTGTGCATATTTAAAGGGATTCAATAAAGAAAAACTAATTCTGAATTGCATTTCTGGTGTTGGCTTTTAGCTCTACTTTAGTTATTTTTCTTTTATCCCAAAATTATAATTTTGTACAATTTCATTTGCATTCATTTTATTCCTACCCCGCCCTTTGACAGTCGCTGATTGGCAAGGAAGGACTGGAGGCCTACAATAGTCTAATCGAGCGCAAGGCCCTGCTGGACATTGGACCCAGTCCTGCGGCCACTTTGCTCCGCCACCTGGACACCGATGAGTTCGATCTGCAAAGTCTTCACCAGTCGCAACGCCCAATGACGTTACCCACTCGAGGAGCTACCCAGCGAGTCCGCAAGGCGGAACTGGCAGCTGGCCTAAGTCGTCACAATGACGAGAACTCCAATTCGTTGGAGGCTTGCGAAAGTCCCAGCTACATGACCCACGGCAGTTACAAGTTTCCCGAGGCACAGCAGCAGTCGGAACAGTTGCCGCCGCCAGAGTCATCGAATCCAATTCCACTTCCACCGCGTGAGGGCAAGAAGCAGGTCAAGACCAGCACCAAGCGACATGTGCGCAAATATCCATTGATTATTCCGGCCAACGGACTGCAGCGTACTCTTAGCAAGCTTACGGACTTTGGGGACGAGGCGGGAAAAACTCCGGAGATCTCCTCCTCTACCCAACAGCAGCCAGGTAGAGCCATTGAAGTAGTTGCTGCTGTTCGGCCAAACAGTATGCGACGACCATCGCGTCCTTCGGAGAGGGAGTATGAGAATATGCCAGCGGTGGGAAGCGAGTCCTCGCACACCTACCAGAATCTGGATAAGTTGGCACCTGCGGATGCTGCTGGCCTCACCGACACCGCTTCGCTACAGTTTGAGTCCATCTTAGAGGCGGACTCCAGTAAGGACGGCATCCTGCAATCTCCTGACGTAACCGATGGCTTCTACAACTTTTCCATTCAGAAGGAGCACTACAACAAGGGTAAGGATGCGGAGTTCGAGGCCACCCAGATCTCTGGGCTGTATGTAAACGATGACGAATTGCGCAACCTGGACATCGAGAGCAGCAGAAAGACGGCCACTCCAGGCAGCAGTTGCAGTGCTTTGGAGTCGGAGGCAAGCCAGCCGGATACACAGCCTCCTACAGAGGCTGCCCCGGAAGTGAGTCGTCGTTTCTCCAGTGCGGATAATGAGCTAGCTGGAAATGCACTGTTCAAGAAAGTTCGAGCCTCCGTCAACATGGCCATGAATCGAAATTCCTTGGCTGAAACTGGTTCGAGCATCAATCAAACAGGAAAAACTTCTGGTAAGCCTCAAACGGAAGCCGAGTACTTTGCAGCCACTGCGGCTCGATTGGCGGATTCGAATTCAGTGAGCTGCGAAGATCTACTGGAGTTTTCCGACAAGAAGCCTAAGGGTTGCGAAAGGGGAGTGGACTCGGATGAAGTACGGATTATGGTGAAAGTGCTTGGCAAAGATGTAAGTTTAATCTACTTATTTGTTATATTATTAGGATTTTCATAGATCTCTTATTTCACAGAGCACGCCAAATCGCTGCTTGGGAGCATTGGAGTTTATCAACTGGGATGTTCATAAATCTATCAAGCTCATCAAGCTGCAGAACCTGGTCAGCGAGGCCAATCTCAGCCTGGAGGCCTCCTTCGAGGCGCTTCAGCAACACGAATGGGATCTTCACACAACGGCCCACAAACTGAATGGCCTTAAACTTTAAATAGTCCTCTAAGACCCACATATACTTCGATCGTCCTGATCTGTTCTAAACGACCGCCGTTGCCTTAACCTCATAACTATTGTTTCTAAACCGTATGCTAAGAATTGGTTAGATTTAAGTTACTCGAAACTAACGTAATCACTGCTCGCCATTGGCTTCCTTCATTCGGATCGATAGAATCTCAGCATGTACTTATTCACGCATGCTTGATCTGCATGTAAGTTATCAGCAAATACACACATTTATACATCTTCATAGAGTTTTTCAAATAAATTATAAACATTTTATACACAACCTTTAATATGGATACATATTTTGATTAAGAATTGGTTATAATGGGAACTTAAACAAAAGTAGGTAATTTATACAATTTTCGGTAATTTTGTCAAATTAATCAACGATTTATTTAAACTTGAAACTACTAGATATTGTACACATATTTTACACAAAAAACAGACCACGCATCTTAATTCTAACGAACAAAAACAGAACACACAATGGGTAGCGATGAAGCCAGATGTACGCTATTTCCGCCTCCCCCGCTTACCATCCATGCTCATGGACAAGGCCACAGCTCGCGTCACTCTCTTCGGCGTAGACACTTGCAGCTGACCGCCACTCAGATTCATTTCGAGAGACATCCGTTTCCGAGTCATGCACATAGAATTTATACGCTGGGCGCGCGCATCGTTTCTCGTGGTCACTTTTGGTGTGCTGGAGCTGGGGCGGGAACGAATAAGGGATATCGTCTTACTGATCGGCTTCTTAGACTTTGTAGGCCTTGGTTCTGGTTCAGACTCGGATTCCGATTCTGATACTGCGTCAGATTCCGAGTCCGCTAGATTAATAGTTGCCGAAGGCACTTCGTTTTCCTTAACCGAAGATGTACTGTCCGTGGGACTGTTCGTGTTCTTGACCATCTGCTGACGCCGGGAACTTCTGTTGTCCAGGCGTTGCTGTTTCCGCAACGGTGATTCGTGAGGCGGAGACGGAGCAGACGGATCAGTGGACCGCAGGGATCGTGATTTCGGATCTGACGGAGTTCGTCTCAGCACTCGTTTTCGTCCGTTTCTTAAAGGCGTCTCCAGATGCAGAATTTTTCGCTGATGATAATTAAACAAAAAAGGAAAACAAAATTGTATAAATCAATAATGAATGCTGTCCCCTTTTGATAAAAGAAGTTAGTGAGCGTTTTATGTTAATTATACCCGGATGCAAAGCAAAGACAAAAGGTGCATCATTAATTCTATGAAGCTAAAAGGAAACTACAATTTGTGTTCTGTTTTGAAAACGTTTGTTGATTGTTAATGCCGATTGCAACTTGAATCTTAAACTAAACAGCAAGTAGATGGCGTGTGAGTCCTTTGGCAGTGGCTAGAGTTGCATGCGCAAGCGCCTCATACTCACTTTGCTTACTGGGGTGGATGTGGGCTGGGATACGGAAGTGCTGGCTGCTGTCCTGTTACGCAGCGAGCGAATACGTAGGTGGCTGGCATCCGGTGCATTTTTCGGACTTGGTGAGGCAGCTGTGGGCGATGCCTCGATCACCTCAGAATCGTTTGACTTAAAAACAAAGAGAAAACAAGTTATTATCTGCAACTACTTGGAGGAAATGCGGTTTTTACCTTATTTTCTGCGGTTGGGCTCTCGGTAATCTCTTCATCGGATGATTCCTCCCCACTAGAGGGGCGCTTTTCCGGTGTTTTAGATGACCTGGCAATTGCCATTTCGAGACGTTTTCTCATTTGCGGCTGGCGTAAGTTCCGTTTAGATGTCTCTGCCGCCTCCGTTTCCGTATTTTCCTCAGGATTAGGCGACTGAGGCCCCAATAAGCTCTCGGCTTCCGATTGGCTAATGGCCATGGAGCGACGCAAGTAACGTATCCCGACAATGTTATCCTTACCATAAGTGGTTATAATAGGCTCAGGTGTTGGTGCTGCTGGTTCTGCCGCTTTTGGAGTTGCTGCAGTGTTTTCTTCGATTAATTCGTTCTGCTGAGTTTGTGGGCCAGAAATTAGCGCCGGCTCGTTGGAAGAAGAACTTTCGGGAGCAGGTTCTGTTGTCTCCGCTGGCACTGCTGTTTCCGACTCCGCCGCAGTGGTCACAGTTGCAGTTTCGCACTCTTCATCGCTGTCACCCTCACCGGGATTCCGACGAGGGGGCGGATTGAAGCTGCCGTTGACCATCATCTTAAAGTTGTCAATGTTCTTGATCATGCGGGGATCCAATTCGCTCTAAAAAAGAAAATAATAATAAACTAAACACATATGATAATTAGACACACTCTCCAATACTCACAGCAATTAACTTGTCCGCTAGCTGCAACATTTCAGTCTTAATCTCCGGTCCGTTGAATACGTTTACTGATAGAGACGTTAGCTCCTTGGATAGTAAGCGGCACATCTCCTTGCGTTCCGTAAAATAGTTCTGAATATATTGCAGAAAACTTATTGCTATTTTGTTGTGGATATTCGTTTGTGGCGTGCTGATCTCTTGCACTGTCATTTCAAGGAAGAACTTGGTTAAGTTTTCAGGTGCGACACCGCTAAGCGGCGAGTCAAAACTGCAGTTCATAATGGTCCAAACGGTGGGCAGGAAGCACGGCTGTAGGAGACTCTGCTTGTTGAGGCGCCTTAATTCTTCGAAGAACATGCCCAACACCTGGCTAATCATGGGCTCGGTGTTTGGGTTGAAGTACCGCTTCAATAGTTGCTCCAGCACATCAGTGCGATCGTCGAGATGGCCACGGAGCACCAAGCGGCAGAGCCCACGAACGATGGCCAATCCCACGCCTTTGTTCTGCACTCTCTCCAAGTAGTGTCCCATTACCATAATTATGTCCGTATTCTGCTCATTGTTTTGCGACTGACTGCCATCGTCGTCGTCGTAGACCTCTTGCATTGTATAGAGCTGTCGCCGCTTTGTCTTTGACGCTTGACCGCCGGTTTGGTTTAGATCGTTGAAATAGTCTATGCCATAGCGGTCAAGTAACTCCATCATACAGTTGGCCGCCGTCTCACATAGCCTCACAACGTTGTTGTTGAAAAACTGCACAACCACCACCTCGAAGACCTCCTTGCAGTAGGCTTCATAGAACATACTGTAGGTGGTACCGCACTTAATGGCCCACTCAAAAATATCTACCTCGGCGCTGGGCAGATAGCGACAGATGAAGTCCTTGTAAAGCTGGCAAAGGCTTGGCGTCAACTTGTTGACGTGCGGTGAGGCAGTCATGTAGTAGCATGTGTACAGTCCTTTCAGCACACGCTCTTGCTTTGAGAGCTTTGGGCGGGCGGGCACCTCAAGAACACCATTCCGCTCCAGCAACGGCCGAATTAACTCCGTATACTCTTCGGTGACGGCGGTCTTCTCATCGTTTATAGACTGCGCCCGCATGTACTCCTTTTGACGCACATAATTGTCCTCCTGCTCTTCCATTTCAAGGATTTTCACCTTCAACGAGGAGATCTTCATCTTGAGCGGCGTGTCCAAGTCGTCCAGCAACTTATTAATCAAACTGCGGTCATGAATCAGCTCGTTCTGTTTAGTGTTAAGCTCACACAGTTCGTAGATGATTTCAATGAAGAACTGCATCCGATCGTTCACATCGGTTATCAGTTGCTCCATGCAGCGCACCAGCACGCTCACGATTTTGTGGTCCAACAGGCAGTCCTTCAGCAGGTTGGCGATCAGCAGACGCATATTGCCACGTCCGATCTCGTCGCCCAAGTCGTATGACTCTAGAATTTCTACTAGCGAGAGCAGCATGTTTTGGAACTCCACCTGGGCAAACTTGTCCATGTCTGGCTTTTGAAACTGACAGAATCTATAAAACGGATTGCATTTAGTATCGATTCAAAGTGAGGAGAATATGAAACTTACTTCTCCATATATTTGCAGAAGACACTGAGTTCCGGGAGCACGGACTCCATTTCGGGAGCTTCTGTCTCCAAATATTCGCTGAGACACTGCCAGTATATCAGCAGTTCCACGGTCAGTAATTCGTGTGGTATGCAGCGATGCAGTTCACAGTCGTCGCTTAAAGGCAGCTGCTCTATGAGTTTCTGGTGGTCCGTCTGATCAAAGATTACTCTTAACATTTGCTTAGCCACGCGCCGGAAGCGTAGAAGCTCCTCCTCGTTGGAGTCCAGCTTGAGGGCCGCCGTGAGAGCGATGTAGTTTTGCTGGTACGACTCGATCCACGATTTGAGCATGTAGTTGATCACCGTTTTGCGCACGGTGGCCGATGTGTCGTTAAGTCCCTGTTCCAGCAGTGTGAGGCGCTGTGCAACTTTGTAGGAGCGCACCGGGTAGTTGCACATGTTTACGTACGTATGTCGACGCACCTTCTCATCGACGTCCCACAAGCGTTGCAAAATGTGCGGGATGGTAATGTAGTTGCGGCCCATGCACGTGATGATGCACTGGCGCACATTGGCCGAGGGATCGGAAGTTAAGTGGTACTGGTACGCACAAACGACGAGGTCATTGGGATTGTCCGGATTTTGAAGGCGCTGCATGGCCAGCACAGCCTGCTTGCGTACACTGGCAGACACATCCTTCACCCTTTCCAGCATCGCGTCCAGGATTTCATCGCATTGTTTGTCATCCAAAGCGGCATTGGGTCCGAGTTCCTTAAGTATGAGATTCACGAAGTAGCAGATGCGATATCGTATATGGGGGCTACTGGAGTAGGTCTGTGGATACGGGTAAAACCAGACGCTTGCATTAGGTACTTTTTTCGGCAGTACAGTAGGTACAGTAGACACTCACCGTAAGCAACCAGCGAAAGGTTTCGCCCAGCATGGGCTCCGACTCCGAGTCCGGACTGGCGACGAAGGTGGCACAGAAGTTGAGGGCCATATTTGCGTTTTCGTTGCCTTCCTCCGCTTCTAGGACGGCCTTCAGTACATTTATGAAGGCCTGTCGAAAGGGCTCGTGGCCCATCTAACAGAAAAAATCAATGTTATGGTCGGAAATTCCAGATAATAAAGTCGAAAATACCGACGCCACTTACCTTTGTGTACAGTTGCTGCATCTCCTTGACGTAGCGCTTATGCATGGATTCTTTGAGCTCGGCTTGTCGCATGATCGAGTACATGAGTTCCGGGGACGAGGAAGGGTTTGTAGTTGCGTTGGAGGAGGTGGCCTCCTTGTTTTCCTTCTCCACATCTTTGTTGGATTTATTTTTGGTGGTCGCCTGACGCTTTCGCCCAACTGTCGCCTTTGGTTTGGCCGTCTCCTTCTCCTTTTCGCCCGCCTTCCCCTTCGGTCTGGCCATTTCGTTAAGCTTTATCTGTATAACGTTATCCGCAGCCGATATTGGAACTGCGTGTATCTGGTTAAAAATTAAAAACTGTTTTCAAATTGCACCAAGCGATGGCGAAACAAACAAGCGTCGCGTTATTGCCTTCTTCTCTTTCCACCCCCGTTCGCTTGTTAAATTCAAATGACGCGTCAGCATTTTTTAGTGTGTTTATGAGAATGTTGATCGATAGTTTCGTGATCGTTGTCTATCGATTGCTACGATCCATTTTTAATTTAATTGACAGTTATTTGGGAATATGTATTCAAAAAGTCTACATGATTCTTTACACATCGTTTTGAGTCGTTTTTGTTTAAACATATCTTTAATATTCATAATCACAATGAGTACACTTGATCTGCGGACTATACTTAGATTGTTAAACGCCACACGAAAATTTCTGTTTAAACTGATAAATTTTTCTAAAACACATATAAATATTTCCATTACATCTATTATATAGTTTACTTTAGATAGTATAGTACTTTCTTAAATTTATAATTTAGTATAGTACAGTACGAATAGGGATATAGTATTTTCAACCCTATTCTAAATTATTTACTTGTTTATCTGATCTGCTTTTTCAGGACAATTGGGATTTCCCAAAGGGTGGTTATTTCATGAAACGGAATTTGTTCTCAAATGCCAAAAGACGGCCTTTTCAAATTTTACTTTGGAATGAGGGGTAGTTTTGTGGAAAATTCTGATAGCAAATAGGAAAATGTTTGCTCTGAAAAGATAATGTAAAAATATCTATCTTTTGATAAGAATGATGCAAGATATAGGGGTAGGTTTGTATTTGTTCAGAGATACATAGAAAGATAAGAGGTTTCTAAACCATTTTATTATTTGTAACCATCATTTTAATAAATTTAACTTAGAATCATTTAAAAATTATAAAATGCAAAATGTATAGATTATCTGGTAAAACATTGTCATTTTACACATAGAAGTTTTTCAATTAATATAACCTGAATAATATTAAACCCTAGAATGTCTCGCGTTTCCAAAAGGGTTTACGATGCCAAGAGCACTTATCCGGACCGCACTAAATCCGAGGAGAAGTCTTTTACGGAAGTAAATGTGCCTATCAAAAAGCTAGATACTGCTCTCCTCTTGCTAAGCTCCAAAGAGGACTGTGTCCTTCTGACAGTCTTCAGTCATATCACAGACTTTGCCCGCCGCCAGGACATGAATGTCCTGGAGCTGAGGGCCCATGGTTTACTAGAGCTGTTGCTTGAAAAGGATCTTTTCATCAGCTCGGAAAACACAATGATCAGACGGTTTTCTTTGTACCTGCTCACTGCTCTGTTGGACAGCACAGACATGTCCACCTACGAGCCAGAGCAGACGCAGAAGATCCTGGAACTGGCTTGTAGATTCTACCTAAAAGAGAGCGACGACTTCTGCAACGAGTATCTGACTTATATAATCAATGTGTGCTTAAGGGATCCCCAGATGGCCCACGACATTGTGGAAGAAACCGAGTTCCTGGAGAAGCTTAAGTTAGTGTTCGTTAATTCCGAAAATCCGGATACCGTTTTTAACTCTATAGAGGCTCTACATCGGATGCTTCTGGTCCAAAGTGCCGACCAGATGCTGGAGTTCACAACTATGCCAGATTTTCCGGTGGATCGAATTATTTGCGAGGTGACCAATGAATTTCCGGAGATTCGCAAGGCGGCCTTAAAAACATTAAAAACCCTACTGGCCGACACCAGCGAGGATAGTGTCTTTGAGCCACTGCATCGTTGCTTCTTTGTTCTAGAGCAGTTAGTCAAAGCATTTTGCGAAAATCCCCAGGGACCGGAGGCGGCCGATATCATCGAGGTTCTGGCCCCGGCTCTGCGATCCGAAAAGATGACCAAGCTGTTCTTCGAGCAAAATCTGTTCGACCTGGTCGTTGAGCAAATGCGCAATCACATGGACATAATGCCGCTGGAGATGTGCTGCACCATAATCTCAATATTTGCGGAAACGGCTCAGTACGAGCAATTTTTGCAGCGAATGCATAAAGCTGAGATCACAGACATGTTCCTTAACTGCCTGATGAAGAACAAACCGGCTCCGGCCGCCTTCGTCATAATGGGACTTCACCGTATGTCTCAGCATCCGGATGCATTGCGTCGAATTGTGGCCTCATATGAGGAGGGAGCTATCCGTAAGCTGGTGTCTATTCTAATGTCGCCAGATGTACCTATAAAGATTCGGGAGCAGGCCGCTGAGTTCCTTTCCCGTCTACTGGTGGCTGCCTTCCGGGATACAGCTGCCCAACTGAAGGAACAGGAAGTTGCCGCCGTTCTTACAGCGATCATCACTCAGGGACAACCTACTCTGTCCATTGATCTGATACTCTCTCTGCTGACGATCATCGAGAGTCTGGCCCAGAATGAGGAATACCGCACAATCCTGGGGGAGTATAGCTCGCTAACGGAGCAGATTGCCCAACTACTAATGGTGATTATCTAAAGGCTATATTATGTACCATAATCCTTATATTTTCCTGATCGCAGCGTTCCTTTGCTCACTCCATTTTGGTGAACAATATTTTCCGCTGTCTGTGCACTTTGATCGATGAGGCTCCGGTGCGTGAGACCCTGCTGGCCAACTATATAGTTTCCTCTATTAAGCGGGCTCTCAAGTCGCTTTCCAATCTGGTCAAGACCTCTGTGACCAACTTCATTCTTCAGACCACTCGGTTCAATGAGTTCATAGACGCCTATATTGATCGTGGGATCCTTGAAGTGTAAGAGAGTCTTTCTTTTTATCTCAGAGATTTGCTATGATCTTTTCATCTTAGTTTGTTAGAGTTCCAGAAACACTCATTCTGTGTTTCCACCTGGGCACCGGCCATCGAGAGCATCTTGTCCAAGTGTCCCACAATGAAGTTTGCCATCCGCAACTGTCTGAACTTCACGGATATTACAGCTGGCAAAGACTTCTTTGTTTCGCGTAGGAAATTCGAAGATTTCCGGACTTTCCAGGAAATTTTACGCAACGATTGCTCGCCTTTGGATGCCGTTTTGGTGGTAAACTTCGATCGGCCCAAGGCTGATGTAAATGATGTAGTCGACGTGCCACTACGGTGCTTGAACACGATCACAGATGTACCTGGGGATCAGGGTTGGGACTACTGTAAGAGGCCCGGAGACAACTTCTTGCCGCAATACTTGGAGGCACTTAACCAGACACTGGCGGTGAGTTAAATTTAGCTTCTAATATAGTGTTTTTGAAACCTCCCCCCATAGATCCATGGTTTGGTGGAGAATCCAGAGCGTATCCGTCGTTGCATTGACTTTGATAACGTGGCCAAGCGGAGCAAGCTGATCGCCCAGGCGGTGTTTGCTGTGATGAACGACAATCTGAAGATAATGGATCTCAATTCGACGGAGGAGTGCAGCCGAACTACAGTGCGTTGTCACCTGCAGGAACTGCGCCACATCCTGCACACTAACTTCATTCCACTGGGCTTAGTTCGCAGTGGCTGCCAATTTGAACGTGCGATACTCTTCAAAGGTTTGGCGGATCAGATCGGACTGCCGTGCACACTGCAGCGTAGTGTTGATGGCAGAATGCTTTACAATGAGGTGCCACTACCACTGGAACCAGAAAAGGATATACACTGCGATAAGAAGACGCTGAAGTTCATGCCATGGCGTATGCTGCGACCCACCCATGTAGTCGATCTTATGTACAATGTGGGCGAACTGTATCCGATGCAGAGTCGCCAGGCGCTGCAGTACCTTCGCCTCTACTAATCTTAAATTTCGAAATTTTCAAAACCATTTTTCTGTCTCTTGCTAAATTATTCTGTCCCATTTTTTATCACCTGCTGAATGCATATTTAGTAAAGGGATTTCGTCGGTTTGAATCTGGTCTTCTAATTCTCAATCTAATGTTTCTCATTTTTGGAAATTTGGCTTGGTTTGAGTCGTGACTAAGGAAATCCATTGCGCATGTCCTTCTCGTCTGCCACTGCGTCTGACATTCGTGGTTGTGTCAGTTAGATAGCAGTGGGGTTCGCGGAATGAGTAGCACGTAAACAAGAGAATCTTGGGCCACGGTAGATTAGCCAACGAATCGGGTGGCCAGCGGCAGGATGATCAGACCCTTCGTCACGCTGCTCTACTTCCTGCTGACCAGTTCGTCCATCGTCTTCACGGCCTGTGTAAATAATGGTAAATAAATGTCCTGGAGCTCCGTGACCTTGGCATGGAAAAATCAATAACATCTCCCATTCAATATCCAGTTACGGGCACTAGTTCTCCTGGTCCCGGTCCCAGTACTTCGCTGACGAGCGGGCATATCCACCGTACGGCGGCGGCCATTGAAAGGGTTAATCTGCTGTGGTGCTACGCCTGCCACACGATGGATGACGGAGAGGCCTGTGTGGATGTGGCGGTCAAGAACGACACGACGCTGATGAAGAAGTGCCATGGCGAGGAGTTCATATGCATGGTGTGTTTGCAGGATCTTAAATATTGGATGTCCTTACCCATAACCCACCTGATTTTAGGTCAAGCGTTTCTCGTACACCACCAGCACGGAGAACTCCACCAGTTCGCCAAAGATGTGGTCTTTAGATCGACGATGTGCTGCCAACTGCGAGCCCGGCTGCATTATCATTGGCGAGCGGACCAAGCTCTATGCCTGCACCTCCTGCTGCGAGGAGTCCTTCTGCAATACGGGTCGGGGTGCTGCTTCCGGGATCTTCCATCGCGAGGACACGGGCATTGGCACACGGCTCTTTTGGCTGGCTGCGCCATTTTTGGTCAATATGTCGCTGGTGTTGTATAAACGACATGCCGGCCATGTTCTCCTCAAGCTGCAATAGCCCTGCGGGTCACACCTCACTGAATTTATGGGCACACAAATGCTCTCGAAGATGCTTCACACACTCAACTCAACTCCACTCAATGCCAAATCCTAGCTAATTTTAGATCTATGTCTCCTGTAATGTAGATAGGCCATCATGTTGCCGTGTGATAATAAAAGCTGGCCTCGTCACTACAGCGAGCTCACACCCAACAAATCGAGAGATCCATATTTTGCCTGTTTTATCTATAGGCTAGTATTAATCGTATATATTTTAACATGGATTATCTTGAATTAAAAATTGATTTCCCAAAACTAAACTAAACTTAAATTCGATTCTTATTAAATACTGCAAGGAAAATCCAAATTATTTTCTAATTACATTTAAAAGAAACTCGATATTGACTTAACATACGGATATATATCTCACTAGATTTCATTCTAAATGTTAAGCGCATTATTTGATCAGATCAAATGTGTCAGCTTATCTCTAGGCAAGCGGTTAATAGAATAATTGTAATCCCAAAATTAGGAATTCGGTGCCCACATCCTTTTGGCCCTCTTCAGTGATATTCCACATATATTCTGGTAAACATCGAGGCCATGAATACATGCATTAAGCCCTTCATTTTGGTCCTGTGAATTGCATTACGTTTCCGTTTCCACATGCCCAGTTTCCTCTGTCTGCATCCGCATTACGATTTTGGTGATGGAAATGGGTGGGAAATTCTATGAAGGGCGGCCCTTCTGGGCAGACATGAATTATTTATTGGGCAAGCAGTCGCCGCATCGGAGGAGTATTCATAAGCAGAGAGGGAGAGTGGGCGGGAAAGGACCTCTTATCCGGCCTTGGATGGGCGGCAGATCCTGCTCATCTAATGGAGTTGCCATTAAAAACAGATACTAACATGAGACATGCTGCATCCGTGTTTCCGTGCGTGGGCCTCTTGTTTTGTCCTTATTTTCGGGTCGGGAATGCACCACGCCCCCTCATTTGGAGCACACATACAAGAAGGCTCGTTAACGCCCATGAATTGCACAAGCTTCGTACACAGTGAGAAAGAAGCTAACAAATTGAGAACCTTTTTCATTTGGAATCTTCATTTTTATACTAATTTAGGAAATTCTCTTGTTTAGCCTTTACTTATAAATAAGAATTTACTTTATTTAATATCCAAATATTAAATTACATAATTTTTTACACTGTATACATGAGATTTTCCTGCTCCAGTTTCTGGCCCCTGGAGGGACATTTGCCTGGGCCAAAAATGCTGGGCTGGCCTGGCCTGGCTCCTAGATGAACTTCCGGTGCCTAGACTCCTATATCTTGGCTAATAAAGCCGAGACAAATCTCTTCATTTCGGGCTTAATTTTCTTAGCAAATTTACATAAATGACCGAGGGGAGAATATGGAGGCCAGGAAGTCAGATAGGGTTCAGGTTCAGCCAGCTGGCCATCCATCATGGCTCTCAGTGGGTGGCTGAGTTGGGGGAAGGAGTAGAGGAGGTGGATTGCTTTATGTGGCCTTCGTGTATTTGGCGTTTATTTTTGCGGCTTTCATGTCGTAAATCTTCATCAGACGGCAAATTACGTGGTTTCCATCGCGCCACTCACCCGCTCCATCCTACGGGCATCCTTTGGTGTTACGGGGGCACTTTTCGAAATGTGGCGGAACGTATCCGGCAAACAATAAAGTGACCGCAATGCGAGCCCCCAGCCCCTTATATCCTTGGCCAGGAAAAACAATAAACGGTGACAAAAAGGCAAACAGGATGCGCATAAAAACAGCAACAATAAAAGCATAGACAACAACAAAAATAACCGTTAAAGGACAACCAGGAGGAGGCGCCTCTGACGGCCCAGCCATTGACAACAGTTTCATTTATGAAAAATAATAGCCACGGCAATATGCAAAATTTATTATTATATTTGCGTTGAGCCGCAAAAATGCGACGGATTTCGAACCTCGACCCCAAAAAGTTGATGGTACTTTTTGAAAGAGGCAAAAGGAAGTTCAGATACACTTTCTGATATGGCTTATTAATAGAAAACTCTAATTTGTAGTACGAACCTCTTTCAATCATAATAACATAATTATTATAGACCTTTTCTGTTTAAAAAGTAGATTAATTCATGAGGTGATAAGCTCCACCTGTCGATCACGTTAAAACATAAAACACGTTTTAGCAAATCAAAGGTGACCGATTGTACACATTACTAACTTAGAAATCTGTTTAATTCATACTTCAAGTGGCGATAAGTTAATGATTTAACGTCATAACTGATTAAAAATAAATTCGTTAAAAACTCGATTACTACGAATGTTTTGATAAGAGCCCAAATGTTTGGCCTTTTTCGGTGCATTCAGAGGAAAAGTGTTATCAGTGAATAAGATGAAAGATCTTTTGAAAGTGTTTATATTTTTTAAAGTATTCTATCTTAGTTCTTATATTTTTTAAAGTATTCTATCTTAGTTCTACGATCACTTATGATTTTTGTACTTCATCAGACTCTGAAGTTTCGGTTGTTATTATTACCTCTTCTGGGGCACTAGGTGCGTTATCATCTACCAGTGATTTCTTTTCAGCGATAGTTGTGCTTTTTTTGCTTGGCCTCAGGAACTGGTCTAGACCACCGAAAGGTGCCTCTATAAGTAGGTGCATCAGATAGGAAAACAACACGGTGCCACCAAATGTCGACCAGATGTTGAGCATCTAAAGAAATAATAAATTAAGTCATTTAAAATTCAGGTCAAAATAAAAATACATACAATTCTGTAATTCGAAAAGTAAACATTTGTCCTTGTGCTCCTAGCGTTGATCTCCATGAAGAACATATGCCAAATGTAAGCGGAGTAAGAAAGCCTGGAAAGAGGCTGCCACAGCGGAGAGGAAAGGAAACTATTGGCTAGGCCTCCATATCCCTGAATGCAAGCGAAGATCACCCAGCAAACGGCCAACGACCAGCCCACTCTGGTTAAGGTATAGTACGAAGACTCCGCCAAGGTAGACGCATTAGCATCAGTCCATTTGGAAGCCGGATACAAAGCAAAGATTGCAGTAAAGATCATAGCCAGGCAAAGGATCCATCCTAACCACACGTATAACCAGCTTAGCTCGAACTTCTTTCCTCTATTCAGATGCAGGAAATAGCCAAAGAGAAATCCTATCAACCAAGGTGTGGCGTGTGTATGAGTGGCAAAGTAGGCATCTCTCATTGCCTCCGAGGAAGCAGTGCTAATGGAAAATGTGAGCTTGTATCTCTTTTTTTACTTTAATACTGAAAGAGTTTAACTTACGTAACCATCATTGTGTAATCATTGACCATCATGGTGGCGAAAAGGCAGGCAGTTAGTAAAATTATGAGGACGAGAATACCAGCAGCAGCTTTCTTTCCCCATTTGTAGAGAGAAATCAGCAGGATTGGTGAGATAATATATAACTGTATGTCCACCGACAGGTACCAGGTTTGGGACAGGCACTATAGTCAAAGGAACTACTATATCATTTTGTTCTAGATTAAAAGTGACTTTACCTTACCGTATCGTTGGTATAATTATTCACGAAAAGCAAAGTCCAATACCAACTATCCCGACAAGCTGCCTTTCCTATGTAACCACTAGCAAAAAGTGGTCCATCCGATACCAAAGGCATGAGTTTCATATACACCACAATGGCCATTGCCAAGATAGGAACTATACGGATTAGACGATGTAGATACATGATGGGCACATTAAGTTTGCCTTTAGTTCTGTGGATTAATTAGTTAATAAGTAGGTTAGTTTTATACATATATCTTTGACTTACTTATCCATCAATCGCAGTGGAATCAAAGCCACTAACAAGCCGCCAATCACTAAAAATGAATCAACCGATATAAAGCCATGCAGGATAAAGCTGGCAAATGCTGAATCTAACCACTGTAAATGGATTTTAACTTATAAATAGGAATCACTGTTAAAATTTAGAAATAATCTTACTGTTGCCGCACTGAAAAGGTTAATATTTGGTTTAATAAGAGTCGCCGAGTATTCATGACAAGTGATCACCCAAAGGAGAGACAAGCAACGTATTCCATGAAGGCAGTCGATCACATTCGGATTCGATTGGCTTTCTACAACTCGAAATAGGGCACGGGAGCTGGCTCTGGCTGAGAACATCTTTACAATGGGAGGAATTTGATCTAAAAGTACAAAACTTTGTTAAGTTCCAATCAGAAAGATCGTTTCTAAGTTACTCACTTTGGTTCTTGACCAGGAAGTAGTCCCATAGAGTAAACAAGGTCACCAGAGAACCCATTATCGATAAGAAAACTCTACAAAAGAGAATATTTAGCCAAAAGTGTAAAAAAGTTTTGGTTCCCTTACATCATGAAAATGGTGAGTCCATCCCAGGGTTCACTTTCACTTGTCTGGCAGCTACCATCGCTGATACTCATGCCAGAGCTGGAGATATTAACATTAAGTAGCTGCTTCATTAGTTGGCCGATAACCGTGTTCATGTGGACGGCAGAGCAGGAGGCAGGAAAGCAAGTAGCCGTGTTAAAGTTACCAATGCTTAAGTTGTCGATTCCCATGATCTTGGCTGGGGAAACCGAGAGAAAGCAGTACTTTCCTTGGATACTTCTGCGCTGACTAATGATACTCTTTCTGATATTGAGACATTCGTCGTAGTTTCCCAGATCATAGGAGTTTCCAGTAAGTAATCCGGATGGTATGGAACCCCAGGCATCGATCACTGAAATTTCATAGATTTTACCCATAAGCATATACTTTTTTTATTCAAAGTTTACTTACTTTGTAGTGCCCAGACTTGACCATTTAGAAGTCCTGTCATTAAGGCAGCCATATCACTGGCACACAGGAGATCCTCCTCTCTTGGCGATTGGGTATCCAGGACGATTAGCTCTTTCAGTGAAACATTTTGAAAGTATTTAGCAAACTCATGGCCCAAGGATTTAAGTTCGCTGACACGGTGAAAATCTGGCAGATCCTTCCAATCGTTTGCCTTTGCGGCAGTGATAAGTGCAATCCCACAGAGTAATACTATTCCGACTTTGTTGACCATCATGATGGTTTAACTCGTAATGAGGGTTACTCAATGATTCCGGAATCCCTTTATATGAGAAATAGCTGGCGATAACGCCGTCTACACAAACCAAATGCGATATTACTCATCAGATTGTCAATAACATTGAATATGTCTGATTAGGCAATCTTTCAAGCTTTCAGTTTAAAATATTAATCAGTACTTAATGTACTTAAACTACGGCAGCACTTAATAAAATCATTCAAAACCTGCCAGGTGCACAAAAATATTTAGCTCCTTATCTATTTAGGTTTTTCTTTAAAGTGTTCCGATTTAGTTATAATTAGTTGGATTTTGTACTTACTATTATCAAGATACAAACATGTTGTTGTTAAACAAATTATTAATCGGTTTAGTTTTCATGATTTAAACTGATATAAAAAGACTCTTGAAAATCATTTTAAATTAGTGAAAATTTATAGATACCCCAATGGATTTGTAGGGAAAATGTCACAGAGTTTCCCGCGGCCGTTATTGCTTTGCCCGCTTTATTCATTCATTATTATGTATTGCCACTTTGGCATTGGCACAGTGTTTTCGCCATGTTTCTGGTTGTTTGTTCTCTTTTTGGCTGTTTTTATTTGCCATCATTTTGTGCACTCGTTAGCGGTTGTTGTTGTTGTTGTTGCTGCTTTGTCGCGCCAAGTCCACAAAGAAATTTCAATTAAAATGCAACAATGCCGCACTCCATCATTTGGTGCGACGCGCCAAGCTGACAAACCGCGACACATTCCCCCTCGTCTGGAATTCTGGATCTTCTCTTGGCACTCCTCATAGAACTCCTCCCAGCTGGGAGTCTCCTCGAATTTTGGCAGCCACGAAAGTTGCACGTCGTCTCGCCAATGGCTGGCAAATGACTTTTCATTGCGCGAAGTTTTTGGGGGTTTTCGGGCAGTGTTTGGCGAACTGAAATAATGAGTTGGGAAAAATAAACTAAATTTAAACAAAGTTTGGAAGAGAGGTATTCAAATTTTAACTAAGGTCGAGCTTATGAACATCTAATTAATATCAAATTATTTTGAAAACTTTTGATTTGCCATTGCTAACACATAACCTTGTCCCCCAATAACATAGTTTCCCCCATGACATTGTCCCAGTTGAGACCATCAAATTCCTATAAGAAAACATATCCATACTTGTTATACTTTTTTAAGTTCTTAAAATAGCTCTGTTGAGGGTGATATGTCCCTGTCGTCGAATTAAGAAGATGCACATGCAGAACATCGCAAACTGGCCAAAAACAAGGGCCAACTAGGCAACATCTGGCGTGGCATAGAGCAGCAGCAGACACCGACAAGACCCGGCTGATGTTACTGCCACCCACCTTCATTGACAGCGCCCCCTAGAATGTCAGTGGCCTTGTAGACGGTTGTTTCGAGGCTCCCCGACACCCTAAAAATACCACCCATTGCCAGAGGTTCGGGTCCCTTGCAGCGACTGTGTAATTAAAACTTTGAGTAACAGCCACGAAAACTACAATTGACTGACTGCCTGACATCCTGGGGGCATTGTAGTGTGCAGATTGGTGGGTGTTTTGGGTGCTGGTTGTTTGGGTGGTGGTGGGTGGTGACCTAAGCTGTCAGTTGGCGCCACTTTGGGTGCGAAGTGTTTTCGTTTTTTTTTTTTTTAATAAACTTTCACCAGTCTGTGCTGCCAGCAGCTCATCCCTTATTGGATTTTCAGCTTTCTGTGCGAGCGATGTTGATAGAAGCGGAGCGAAACTGAAATTTTTGGTATAAAGAGATAGTGGAAAATCGGAGGACTTTGGCTTTTTCTCCATTAAGAGCTTGCTCTGCTCTTGCGATTTGCGTAAACGATTTTGATAGATTTTGATGGGATTTTGGCTTTGGCTTTCGAGTTGGTCTCGAGTGCCTTGAATTTTCCCGCTGACTGGTTGAGTCTCTTTTTGCCCACACACAGACAGACTTCTGGCCTTAATTCCCACCATTTTCACCAGATGCAGGACACGGAAACGCACTAAGCGCAAATTAGAAAGAGCCGAGGAAAATTTTCGTGTTGGGAAATTGATTTTCTCGTGTCTTTTCTTTTGCCAGCTTTACGGTAATTTGCTCGCACAAGCCTACACTAGGAAAAATAAGTTTTATTAGAAGAAAATAAATATTAAATATGTATTACTTAAAGACAACAATGTTTAGAACAATGATTTGTATAAGTGACATCATCTTATCTGTCATAAAACTTAATTGAGTTTGAAATCAATATAACTTTCTCCCAGTGCATAGAGCTTCACTTGGATGCACACACAAAATGTTGCTCTGCTCACGTTTAATGCTTTACATGAATTTGCATATTAATCTTGGGTTTCTTTCCCCATCTCGGGCTCCTCGTCCTGCCATCCCTTTTTGTGCCCTGGTGTCCTGGCAACCTTTCCGAAATTACACGGGAACTACACATTTTGGTTTGTCACCTCGGCATTACGGCACGTAAAACGTAATCAGCTGTGTGTGCAAAGCTTTCGGGAATCCCCTAGTTACCCTTCCAACCTCCTGTGAAAACCCCTTTGCGCGGCCATCCCCTCGAGCGTATGCAAATGAGGGCCCCACGTTGTTGCCAGCTGCTCTCAAGGCGACTTAACGCCTGCTTAATGAACATAAATTAGTCAGGTGTCGCTTCGCGGCGTCCTTTTCGTCCCCCGTTCCCCACCTCACCTAGTACCTCCTTTAGGCGCTTTGGGGGCGTGGCACAGCATGCGTTTATATTTCAATTTTGTCGCTCGTAACTTCCGCTGAGCGGCAGGAAACCAAAGGGATTCCCTACACTCAAAGTCTTTAATCAAGGTCGCTGCATGACTCCACTTCGTTTTCGAAAACCTCACAAGCTGAGATTTCTTAAAGTGAAAGGCAATAGCTTAAGGAATTGAATGACAAATGCAGAAATAGAAAGCAAGGAAAAAACATTTAAATATCCTTTAAAAAAAAAAAAAAAATAACCTTTCATTGATATAGAAAAAAAATGGCATTGAAAATCGAATCAAAAGTTTCGGTGGAAAACCACCAAGCTGGATTAGAACTATCGATTTTATGCCAATTATTATTTATCAAATGAAGCAATTTATTCGCGCAGGAAAAGCGATTAAATTGAACCGAGTGCTTCCGCCCACTGCTCTAATTGACGTTCCAATGAAGGGCCTGTCAAACACTCGACCGATCTGAATCCTCGATTTTAGTCAAGCACTCTGACCCAGTTATAGCCAGCACTTTTATGGGAAACCCTTGTCTTCAATTACTGTTTGCTAATCATGTCCCCTCGATTGCGCCATTACAGTTGACAGTGGGCATTAAGTGCAGGCCCAACTGGCCACTCATCCAGGCAGCCAGCCAGCCAGCCAACCATCTAACCATTTACCCATTCACTGGGTGGACCGATTAGGGCCAGCTGTTATTGGCCCACAAACACTTGACCGTAAATGAAATCAGCGTGGGGGCATCTATAATGTCCAGTCTACAGTTGAGTTCTATTCGAGAGGTTGGGCGCGAAAACCACTGCATCCCGCCGGTGACCAAAACTATAGCCAATGTCCGATTGTGTGGCCTACACGCATGGGTCCACGGTAAAACCCCGGCATCAGGATCAACTTCCGCTGACCTCTGTTGCGGCTGACAGGAAGCAATCAATAGTGTTATGCCAGACAAAAGTATCCGGTGGAGTTTATCCGTCAAGTTAGGAGATAAATATTCAGCGACAAGTCTGAGTTGAACAGAGATTGTGAAGAACAGGGAAAAAAGACTAGTGGGTAATTTGTCAACCTTTGGCCATCGCTTTTGTTTGGCGGCTTAAACCCTCCACTGGACTATAACGCCCATTAACTGTCCGCCAAAAGCCCCAATTTGTTTTGCCAGACTCCCCAAGTATTGTCACAAATGTAAATAATGCGTTTTAATCAAATAGAACAACAGCGGTAAATCCATTAACGGAGTACGTGTTGCCAGGCTCAACAGGGGAGTCGTGCTCCCAAGACCCATACATAGCTAGCTCCCCTTTTTCCTGTTACTTCCACCCTTGGAGCTTGACTTGCTCCCCTGCTGAGTAGGTTGATTCACAAATTTCTTTAATGGGGCGACAACAACATTTTTAATTAGCACCTGTTCCTGCTGTTGCTCAGGTTAGTCTGCCATTTGTCGATCTGGTAATCTCCATAAAACAGGAGGACATGCTCGCAGCTCCATGGAAATTAATTTCCAACTTTCCTTCACTCCTCGCCTCGTAATTCCGTCAGTTCTGCGAGTACGCCCATGTACTTCGACAACTTTCTCCCTAATGATGCCATTCAGATGCGTGGCACGATGTTCCTCGCTCCTCCTTAACCCATTACAGCCTTTGGTGGCTTCTCTTTCCTTTCGCTCTGATTCCACTGTTTGCTCTGATTCCGTTTCTCTCTTTTCGCAGCTGATCCAATTTACTAATACCTCTGTTTAGATTCTGTTTGCATGGCTGCTGGAGATCCTAGCACATGGCGCATCCGCCCTGTTGCCCCTGCTTCAGCCCACCAACCCCCTTCGGAATTTGCCTTTTGTTGTTGGTGCTGCAATAATATTTTGCAAGTGTTTCTAAACAAGCACAAAGCCATGTTTCAACAGCTGTAGTCTGGTTTCTGTTCGCTGCTGTTTTTATTGTTATGTCCCACTACTTCCCCTAAGCCCAGCTCCCCCTAACTATCCCCATTGTTATGGCCTTCACTGTAACTGCTTTTTGCTAAACTTTCGCTGCACATTAAAGCAATTTGGCCGACGTTTATAGACTGATTTAATAGAATCAAAAGGGGCAGCAGGGGAAAGAGGGGTGGCTACACACACAAATGAGATATTTCCACACAAATGAACAGGGCCAGACTTCGGATGTGTTGGTGTTGGTGTGTGGAGTATCTGTGTGCAATTGGATATAATTGTTTGACTAAATGAGTGCGTTCGCCTCTTGTTTGTGCCCCCCGAAATGTGCTATACTCCGCTTAACGCTCACAC